CTTCAAATTTAAAAGATGCATAAATATTTTGTTGAGTGTTGTTGTTACAAAACACAAATATTTTGTTGAGTATTGTTGTTACAAAACATAAATGTTTTGTAGCTTTTAATGAGCATTTATCCTAATATGGTTTAAGAATCAATGTCATAAATTACATGTACAGTACAAAGTCCGTAATCCAGACGTCCATTATCCGGAATGATCTATAATCCGGACCTCAAAGACGAACTTTACACATGCACGTAGAGAATGCGCATTTTTTATGCATGCGTGCATTGAAAGAAATGTTTAATGAAGTAAACAAATAAATATTAAGCTTTTTTTTTTTTTTTTGTAAAATTTGATACCCTTTAGATTATAATTGCTTTTTATTTCATAAATTACGGTTTCATATTTTTAATAGTATAATTTCTGCATGCCATCTTACCAGATTTAAATTGATGATCTATAATCCGGAAAAAACCCTAATCCAGAATCGCCGAAGTCCCAACAAGTCTGGATTACGGACTTTGTACTGTATTTTAAACTGTTGTTGTTTTATTTAAACTGGGGTTGTATTTCATTTCTAAGATTGCATTCAGACAGCTGCGTAAATGTCACAAAGTCATAGTCAGAAGGAATAAAATGTAGGAGTTACGTTCACACTTGTGTCACACACTTAGAGAAGTTAAATTTGTGCATGCGTGGATTGTGTCTACAGCTTTCCTATTCTGTTTTTCCATTCAGGTTTCATGCATTCGCTCTGATTGGCCGTCGCTTATTCCAAGTCAGCATAAAGTTGAAAACTTCAAACTTTATGCTAAGAGCCTTAAACCAGATTTTGTGATGTAGCACAGGCTGGTTGCCTGGCAACGCAGCTCAGCTTAAACCACTTATGCCCTTTATACCGTCGTCTGAATGCAGCTTTAGAGAGGGTATAAAGGGCATAAGTGGTTTAAGCTGAGCTGCCAAGTTACATGCCAAGTCATTATATTGTTAACAAGACAATGAAAAGTTACATGTTAGGTCATTATATTGTTAACACAAGGCACAGGCTGGTTGCCTGGCAACGCAGCTCAGCTTAAACCACTTATGCCCTTTATATCGTCGTCTGAATGCAGCTTTAGAGAGGGTATAAAGGGCATAAGTGGTTTAAGCTGAGCTGCCAAGTTACATGCCAAGTCATTATATTGTTAACAAGACAATGAAAAGTTACATGTTAGGTCATTATATTGTTAACAAGACTATGAAACCCGGTGCTAGTCTCATTCACTCTTACATCAAAGCAGCTTTTAAATCCTGGATGGTTCTTGAAGATAGTTGGCATATTGAAATTTGTTTTTTCGAGTTATTTGATATGTTCATTCAGGTTTGGATCTGGCAATTTTGGCTGCCCACATCATCTGCTCAGTATTGTAACTTTGTAAACATTCCTCCATGAATTGAGTCCATTGTGAACAAATGTTGACATCCATAAAAATGAAACTGTAAGCCAACTACTTTCTCAAAAATGGCATATAGGTGTTTAAGGCCACTCCTGTGTATTTCTGAGTTGTCAGCTCTTCTATCAAACACTTTTAGGGCAGCTATCCAACATAATGCCTGCCCAAATCAGGACATCTCTGTTAAGTTCTCTTAAGATGAAGATACTTTGAGAATCTTTCTAGGCTGATTTAAGACTAATAATTGAAAAACAAATGGGGTCCAGTAAAGTTAGAGGTCAGGCTGATATAATTTAGATAATGCCAGCTTTTTTCTTCTTTTTTAAGTTTCTACATATGTTTATGTGAGGGATAAAAGCAGAATAAATTAGCAGAAAAAAATTTCGCTCGTGAAATTTTCAGTAACAGTATTCCTTTAAACTAAAGTTCCAATGGCAGCAGAAAATTCACTAGAGCTATATGGTTGTAGTAGTTCTGTGGCATTTGGTTCAAAGTGTTAAATGGGGAGGTCTTTACTGGATGTTTTGGCTGTTGAACACTCTTACCCTGGACTTCTAAATATAGATTTGCTCTCCTGAAACTGTTCCCACAAAGTGTAATTGAAACTAGTCATTACACTGAGTTTTCTTGCAGTTTGAATTTGAGATTGCTCTAAAAGTACTAAAGATACTACTTTTAAACTACTAAAGATTCTCCATGTCATTCTATCATTTCAATGTTGATGATGACTCATCTACTGCATTTCTTATGAAATTTAATGAAATTTTTCAATAGATGTTATGATTATTGTAGAATGTGTATGATTCCTTCCTTCCCCAAAAAGGGAGTAATAGACAGGGGTGTTTGTGCTCCGGGGATCTTGAACTTCGATCCCCGGAAATTCCGGGGATCATCATTCAAAAGGAAGTAGGAATAATAATGAATTATTTATTTTGATCTGTGTAATTTTGTTTGCTTTGAAAGCAGAAAACGCAAGGTCGGAGTGTGTGGTGAAAACTTTTCCTTTCTTTCTCCAAAGGCAGTGATAATGCGTGAAAAGGGGGAAAAAAACTTTTTTGTTCTTTCCTTATTGCGAGTTATGATTCATTCCTCCGGTTCTCGGACATTCTCTTCTGGATTCTTTTCGGCAAGTAGGCGCGGCAGAAAAAAAAGGGAGAGACTTCGTTCGACCAGATGTGCGATCACGTGACTCTGGGTTCAAAGGTCTTATCTCTCCTGGCGTGGCGCCAATAAGTAGAGAAAGGGGATTTTTCGCCGTATTACCTATTTGTCATTGATTGCTTCTCAACTTTTTTTTTCTCCGCTGTGTAAAATTTTCGTTTCATTTATTGATTCATTTATTGATTTCATTTCGTTTCATTTACCAGACTACGATCAAACAAAGCACCTCACTTATTAGATATTGATGGTGACACGTCACACAGCTAATAACTGTGCAAAAAAATTTGCTTCATGTTTTGATAGATACTTAGAAGATTTGTTTGATGACATCTATTTTGATATGAAAAGCTGCAGTAAAAGAGAAATTTTTCCCAAAATGTGTGAATCCCTTGCCATTAAAAAACTTAAGCCCTTGAAGAGACCAGACCATAGGTGGGTGTACATTTTATGTGTTTTAGAAAGAATCAAAGATCTGCGGGATGCTCTTATTGCATTTTATTTTCACTACTTGCTTATAAAACTGATAAAGGGGATTATTTTTCTTATGTTGAAACTGTATACAATAAAAGAAATATTTCTACAGCTCAGAAAAAAATTGTGAAGGGTGAAGGGGTGTATTCTTGCTTGCATTCCCAACAACTCACAAAGGATGCTTTAGCTCGGAAAAAAAGAATACTAAATGGGTTATTTGTTATGCAAAACAAAACTTTATTGCATATGGCATTATATTCAGCAGTATTACCAGAGTTCAACACATATATTAAATTATTTGGAAAAAAAAAAAAATGCTTTATTTAATACATTCCAGTATTTATAAATTGATGGCAAAATTTCTCTCTTTTTTTTTATGAAGCCAGAAAATATAGAGTGCACATCTTATAATGATTTATTAAAGGTTGATGTCACAAATCCAGAATTCCATCTACCTAGTAAAGTAATATTTACTGGTGCAGAAGAAGCTTTCCACTCTCCTGAAGAAATTATCAAAAAATCATCCAATAGCAAAAGAATTCCAAATTTCTCTGATGAAAGCTTATACTAATACAGCACAGCATATGAAACAGAAATTACCCCTTAAAAATTCATATCTAATTAGTTTTACAGCATTAGATCCAGCGCTAAGAGGTAAACCAGTACAATATTAGCTTTCGAAAAATTATCATCTTTTATGTCCCATATTTTTTAGTGATAATGAAAAGTCAAAAGTAGAAGCTGAAATAAGGTTATACCAGAGTGATATTGATATCACCAAAGAAATGCTCTACACATCTGATGAAAGTGGAAATCAAGTCAAGTGTACAATTGATAAATATTGGTCTAAAATTTTTAATTTAAAAGATGATTTCACAAATGATTATAAGTATCCTACATTGGCTAAATTGGTCAAAGCCTGCCTTAGCTGCTTCCATAGCCCATTAGTGGAAAGTGCATTCAACTTAATGGATACACTTGTCACTGACTATAGAACCTCTCTTAAGATTGATTCCCTAGATGCAGCAGACTATTAAATATGATTTAATGGCTTCTAAAGAAACCTCATGTGAAAAATATGGCTCAAAAAATCCAATGACTGATCCAAATCACAAAGATCTCTTACTGAATATGAACAGAAGTTGGAAAACATATCAAGAGGACTTAAAAACATGTATTTCAGATGAGTCACCTATAAAAGTCTCTGAAAAAACCTTCTACATTAGCAGAAAAGCAAACTGCTTCTACCTCTGCATGTGCAGTTCTCGAGGAAATTTCTTCAACTGTAAATGAGGAAAATAAAAGTCAACCTTCCTGCAATTATGAAGTTCACCACAAAAGAAAGACAAGCCCACAAACATCAGAAAATAAAAAAAAAGCAGCAGAAATTAGATAATTTTTTTTTTAAAGAATTAATTCAGGTAATTTAAAAATTTACATAAAATGTAGTAGTTTATATGTTTATATGTTTGAAAATTTATGGTTATTAATTTTGCAAAAAAGTAATTCATTGAACTTTTATAATTAGGTCATTCAATACTTCATAATTGTAATTTTTCATTTCTCTCCCCCCCCCTTCTCGAAACTCCAAAATGTCGGTTAGTAAGTCCGTAAAAGTTTCAGGGAATTTTTTGGGGTCCCACAAACACCCCTGAATAGATTACATTTTGTTCCCATTGTAGTTAGATCTTATCTATATGTGCAAGTATGTTTATGTATTTAGTACCAACATTTTTGTTTGATCATATACATTCCAGTTTTGGTTTATTATTTTTTGAGAAATTTGAAAAAAACTGATTTCCCTCTATTATTATTTTTGAATAATGCTGTACTTTTGTGTTGGTTTAAAAAAAAAAAAAAAAAGAAATCGGAAAGCATGGTAGTAAAAATAGCTTAACTTTTAAAAGCTGTTGTTAATTTTGTTGTTTTGACATCTGTTTCATATAGGTATATGACCTGAAACGGGAATTAGAAGCCAGGAATTTGAGTGTGAAAGGACTAAAATCTCAGCTAATTTCTAGGCTGGCTAGAGCATTGAAAAGTGAATCAGAAAAGGAATCTGGGGAGAAAGCTTCAGAACAAGAAGCTGAGAGTACTAGTGAAATGGAAACAGCTGATGATTTAGGTGAAGAGGATGCTAAAAAAGAGAAGGTTGTTTTTATATTTAGCAGTTTGTCTGTGGAAGCATTTTTTAAAATTTCTAAGTAAAATCGTTTATTACTACAAGAATTGAAATGTACATTAAAAAATTGCGTACATCATGAAATTGGAAGGTGGGAGATTTTTGTGATCTTCTCAAATGTGAAAAATCTGTTAATCTTCATGGTATTTATGTTTTGTTATTAAGTTTGTAGTATTAGAATACAAAATGGAACTTTTGAAGTTAATTTTTAAGCATGATAAACATTTTTAAAAATGTATATTTTTATGTTAAGTATTTATAGAAATGCTTAAGAATCTATTATGACATCTGTATTAAACTTGAAGTACTTCTGTATAACAAAATCACCTTACAACTATGCATGAATTCACACGGGTATCAAAAGATGCCTTGTCATGAATTTTATGAAAGGGGGGGGAAGTGTAAATTTCATTGAAAAAGTATACTGACTGAAATCAGTATAATAAGCCTCTATGTGACATCTTAATTTAAAAATATTAGAAGGCAACATTCCTCTTGACATTAACTGTAAAATAGTTTTAAGGGTGAAGAATTCACAAATCATATTAATCTAACAGGAAGTGTAATTTCTTACCTAATAATAACTCATTTAAAATTTCAATTGAAGGTCACTATTTGGGCAGCTATTTTGCTGGACTCTCTCACATGGGAGAGTCTGCCAATAGCTGTTCACCAGCCCTGCTGATTCTGAGCTTACTTCCTTTACTCATTTTGTGGTTTCAAATTATTATTTTTTTTTAATACAAAAATGCTTGCCACTTAAAATCTATGTAACTTCCTGAAAAGAATGAGTTGTGTGACTGAAGTAAGAAAGGATAGTAAAGATGCAGATTAAAGTAACTTGCTCATTAAACTAAATTGTCACATTGTAAAGTAAAGAAATGTTATTCTGGAATCTGAATTAAGCATTTATTCAATACTCAGTTTAATATTTTTACTGTAAAATCTTTCCAGTATATATATATTTTTTATATGACATGCTTGTTGAAGTTCTAAAATAAAACTTGTTTTGGTTTGTAAATATTATGTGTATGATTGTTTTTGGGTTTTTATAGCATTTGTATTTGTTTCAAGCTCTCTTTTGAAGATATCCGTATGAGAAATCTAAGCGCTCAAGTTATAAATTTGCTTTCAAATATCGCAGACTATTTTCTATTAGCTGGTCAAAGACATTCTCGTTGTTTTTGGATCTAGCATTTAGTTGCAAATTAGCTTATGAGTTCAGAATAGTAATCTATGCTATTGGTTAGAAAATCTGAAAAGAAAAAATCCACTGATAATTTTTAAAATCAAATCGAGTGAGCTAGGTAATGTTAAGCGCTTCTATTCTAAGCCACATATTCAAACACCAGACTCTTAGATGAAGTCGTTAATCTTACTCTCCCAGAGGTAAAAAAGGTCACAGACAATATTGAGAATTGGGTGTTTGGACAAAAATATATTGTTTTTTGCATTAAATAGTAAATGAGTCTTGTGTATTGGATTGCAAATGAATGATAATAGAATAGCACATTCCTTAAAATATATCGTTTGTTAATTGCCAAAGTAAAAAGTAATTTTTTGTCATAACTAATGATAATCATTGTTTAAAGAAATGAGAACTTTACATTTTTTAAATAAATAAATACAGTCAAAAGTCGTTAATTCGGACACCCATAATCCGGATATATTTAATAACATAATAATATAATATAAATAATAATAATTTAATAACCCATGTAAGGAAGTTGTGGTGTCCTCATAAGATTTTTTAATAAGTATAATGTGTAAATTAGTGTGATGTTTTTTTACCCCATTTTTACTAAATATGTGGTAACAAAATTTACTCTTATAAATAGGAAGACGATAAGAAGCAAAAGGAAGAAAAGGAAAAGAGTTCTGCTGATATAAAGAATTTCCCTGATTCTCCAGCTATACTTGTTCAGCCATCTCGTACTGCAAAAAGTGGAAAATTTGACTGTGCTGTCATGTCATTATCATTACTCTTAGATTACAGACAAGAAGACAATAAAGAACATTCTTTTGAAGTAAATTGAATTCTTTCATATTTTACACATTGATTAGGGAAGTATGTTTGAATGTACTTGTATTACATAATAAATTAATTAAATTGCCATTTTTGGTTTTATGTTTAAATTGTCTTCTCCTTCATTGTAAGATAGAATTTTATTAATGTAATTTTTCATTCATTTTTAGGTATCTCTTTTTGCTGAAATTTTTAATGAAATGATGATGAGAGACTTTGGATTTTGTATTTATCGCTCACTAGTTGAAGCTCCGGAAATTAAAGATGATGATAAAGTATATCCCTTATTACTTTTAGGAGATAATAATTATGCAGAACAATATGTTTTTATATAAATCGTTTTTCGTAAATGTATGTATATGTGGCATGGGGCACTCTAAATATGCGGCAAGCCGAAATTCTTCTTAAGAGGTTGCTGGTAAGGGAAGAGGGTAAGGAGATCCTTGTATGTGTCCCCTCTGGGTGCTGTCCCTCAGAATTGGGGATGGAACTGAGCTAAAATTCGGCTGTCATCTATATTGTTCTCAAGCCTCTTGCCGACAACAGGTCATAATGTATGTTGTGGCCTTGTGCTGACTTTTGTCAGATAAATGAGATTGATAACAACAAACAATTCATAATAAATTGTACTGATATTTTTTTTGAACATTTACAGTATTACTGCAATTATTCTATTTCTCTAATATGATATATTGCAGACCTTGATACCAAATCTTTTTTGTATTTAAATGCCTAACTTCTGTTTATGTATGTGTTTGTATGTATTTGCTTTCTACATTAATATCAAAAACACATAGTAATGTTAAAAATTACTTATTGATTGTTTAAGTAAAGTTTTTTTTGAAGTTATTTAAATCTGGGTTCAAAATTTGAAATGTTTGCACATAAGTAACTAATGAAATCAAATTATAGATATTACAAATTCCTGTTGTGAATGATTGGTCTGTAAAAAGTAGGATTTTCCTGTTATGAAATCATAGTTTGTAAGCGTAATACTTCATTAGTGTCCATGTATGAAAGCAATTTGCTCAAGAGAACTGAACAACTCACAAATATGGCAATGAACTATAAAATATTGCGTAAGCATGGGATGACAAACATCTCATTCACATGATAGTGATGGACTATCATGAGATTAACGTAATTTCAGCAGTTAGAATAACATTGGATCACCACTACAGGTATGCCATTGTCAGTGTCAACTGCAATATGTTTGCTTGCATTTCTTGGGACTATATGGAGCATGTTCATGCATTCCTTAGTGCAAGATTCATGTGATGCTAATTCATTAATGCTTGTAACTTTCACGGGCTCATTTACATTGTCAGTGGTGTTCTGACTGGTAATAGATTGAATTTATTGATGAATCCTACTTCGGTTTGGAGTATAATTTGGAGTGCACATTTGACATCATAGCGGTTGTTCCAGAGTCCATTATCATACTGGACAGCCACCAAATATTATGATCGACGGTACTATTTGGTTTGATATGTGATCTTGTTTGCTCAAAATTGAACATATTATTATTAGTAACTGCAACCACAGGGAGGTTTTGGAGTCCACAGATATTTCTGCATCCAACACATTCCTAAAAGAATATTGCAACAGAACAATGCCCATCCACATGTTACTAGAAATATGTAAGACTTTTTCTCATGATGTTAAAACTTCTTCCTTGGCCTACCTGTTCACCAGACATGTCACCTGTTGAATGCTGGGATTTTATGATTGGCCAGTTTGCTCGTAATACTCACAGCAAATGCAGATGAACTTTGAGCTCATATAGAAGTAGTATGGAATGCTATTCTGATATACATTAAGATCTGATTCAATGCCACATCAAGTATGAGCCGTAATTGCAATGCATAGTGGCTTCACCAAATGCTAACTTTGGCATTTAAATACTCTTCTATTCATCTGTAAATTTATTCATCTCTTTGCTTCACTATTAGTTTTATATGAATAAATTTATTCAGTTGTGATGATTTCTTGATGGTGTTGCAGTTTTCATGAACTGTATTTAAGATAAAATAACATGCCAAACAAGTATTAATTTAGAAGCCAAACAACAAAAATTAGCGTTTATATTTGCAAAATTTCACTTTTGCACTGTGAAAATTTGCAAATATAATGCTGATTTTTGTTGTTTAACTTCTAAATTTGGACTGTATTTATTTGGGATTTGTTTTGAAAACAAAATTATTATATTTTTAATATATTTATATCTGAAGAAAATGTGAAGGAATAAGTGAAAAGCAATTTTTTTTTTGCCAGGAAGTTAATAAATCCTTTTCTAAAAATGCATTGAAATATATGTAAAAAATTTCACCTATGAAATTTTTTAAAAAATTGCTTTTGTACCCTTCAGTAAAAGAAACACTAGGTAAATCAGCAAATGTTGTTTTACAAAATCCTCATCAGTGTTGTTTTCCCTAAATTGAATTCTATAAACTATACATTCCATGCATGTGCTTTTCTACTAATAACGCAAACCGCTCTAGAATACATGCAAGAAGCTAACAACTTACAAGAAGCTGTAGAATTGAAATTTTGGATTTATTTTAAAGAAATTTATTTGGCACTGTTGTTATAATGCTGTATAAATCACTATAAGGATTATTTTTGAGAATCTGTTTATCGTAGGATAAACACGTAATATAAACAAACAGGCTATGAAATGCATGTTACTCAAAATGCATCTGAGAAGTTGTGAATAAGTAAATTCTGTAAACATATTAACCACGTAAACTGAAAATAATTAATTTTTTTAAAAAACAGGCAGCAGAATATTCACTGAAAGTAATGAACAATTTGCTAATCATGATCTGTTATTACTCTAAGAAAAGAAATACAGTCAAAAGTCGTTAATCCGGACTCGTCGGGACTTCGGCGATTCCGGATTATCGATTTTTCCGGATTATAGATCATCAATTTAAATCTGGTAAGATAACATGCAGAAATTACAAAATTAAAAATATGAAACCGTAATTTATGAAATAAAGAATAATTATGATCTAAAGGGTATCAAAATTTACAAAAAGAAAAAGCTTAATATTTATTTGTTTACTTTGTTAAACATTTCCTTCAATGTAAGTTGCTTCGTTTCATGTGATAATACTTTCTCTTTAATTCTATTAAACAGACATAATTTCTTGTTTAGTTACAAAGTTCCGCTGTTCAAGTCCTATAATTGCTGTGTTTGAGAATACCGAATTTGTCAATCGAAATGTTTTCGTTTTCAATAACCTCTGTGTCACTTTCTTCACTATCGGAAGCGAATTAGAATGACGAGGAACTTGATTTAAATCATATCAAAGACAGAGTAGATCGAGATGAAATATTACACTTAGTACCGAATTATAAACCAAATAAAATAAAAACATCTGCCCTGAAGATAAGGATAGTGCTGACAGATCAACTTCCAATCCGCAGCGTGAAATTGATAAACAGATTTTGGATTTCAAAACATACTTTCGCTTTGTAGATACAAATTACATATTAGTAAATATATATCGGAAATTCTATTTGACATTATCTTTCTAATCTATCATAATCTAATAATGACGTTTCTGCTGCCCCCCCCTTCTGCCGCAGAGCAGCGTGAAATTGATAAACAGATTTTGGATTTCAAAACATACTTTCGCTTTGTAGTAAATATATATCGGAAATTCTATTTGGCATAATCGAAAGTTCAAGGTTACTTTTATAAAATTGCTCTAACAGTCTGCAAAAAATAATAAGCCGGATCCAATTCGAAGATTAAGGAACAATGCAATCTGCAACATTAACTGAATTAGATAATTTTAGCTTAGTGTATAATTCCGTTACACATTAAACGCGCATGCGCACAAACATATTTGCAGCCGTAAGGGTCTTACGCGCTCTCGTAAACGCCTGTGCGCATGCGCAGAAAGTTTGTAGCTTAGAGGTCCGGATTATAGATCATTCCAGATTATGGGTGTCCGAATTAACGACTTTTGACTGTATACAGAAAGAATTAAATTATTTCAATAATGAAATAAATTAGCTATCTTCTTTAATCTTTATATATTACATATATTGTATACTTTTATTCTAAAGTGTTTTTGTATAATTATATTAGTAAAAAATTGTTATTTAATTGATGTTGATTTTCTGAAAATTCTGTGTATATCCAAAAATAAATGGAGATTACAAGCATTCACAATTTAAGTATTTGTTGATAATCAGAATTATGCAATAATTATATTGCACATAACTGAAGATTTAATGTGAAGAGATCAGATTTCATAGTAGAGTAGATCAGATTTAATGTGAATATAAACTCTACTAAATACTTAGGTGTATTTTGACCTTATCTAGCTATTTGTATGTTTATGATGCAGTTTTATTATACATTTCTGTATTAATCCACTCAGAATTGAGAAAAAGGTCGTATGTTGGTATACTATACGTAAACGTATGATTTGAGCAAAAAAATGTGATGTGTAGGTATGCTATACATAAAAGTGTCATATAACATTAATATTAGAGTTTGTCATTTATTTTACATATGTTGTTGTGTTATTTATCCTAAGACAGTTCTTAATTGCATATTTCTATTTTACTTTTTTTTATTTTAGGATAAAAAGAAATATGACAAGAAAGATGATAAAAAGGATAGAAAAGTAATTTTTACTCTGTCTTGTCTTTGATTCAAAGAGTTTTTATATTTAAGATTTTAGTAATAGGTTATAATATTTTATTAAAAAATATTAATTAAATGGTATTTTTTATTCTTCACTGCTTAGATAATAGCCTACTGCCATAATGAAAAATTAGAAAGTGTTATCTTTTATATTCTGATTATATGAAATCATTGATATTGTTAATAATTCAGAGAATAATGAATGAAGCTTAAACTTTTGTGATAATCATGAAGTATTATTTGTATTTTCTATTATTTTTAAAAGGATAATGTGAAGATCTAGTTTGGGTTCTTGCTGCTTTTAAAGTAAGATATATTATCTGTTGAGTGGGGGGAGGAATGATGGAAAAATTAAATTAAATTAAAATTTGAAATGAATCTTTAAATTTTTAAAGTTTCAAAAATAATAATAAACATATCAATTAGTTAAATTGACTGCAATATTTTTTTCCATTCTAATTGTCAGAATGCATAATCTCTTAGATTTTGACTAATATAGTTAATGTTTTTGACCAATTATACTACATTCAGGAATACTGAAAGTAGCTCACCAAGAAAGAAGAATGTACAATCGCAAAACTTTGCAAATGAGTACAGTGAAATCCAATATGCAAATGATCCAAGTTTGTTGTAAATGCACATGAACACACCTTGCAGTGCTACTGCAATCAGGAAGTGGACCTTATAAATCGGCACATAGATGAAGACTCAAAAATTCTGACTTTAGGGGGACTTTAGTAAGCAGAAAATGCGAGGTAGATGTATAAGAAGATATTTCTCACAGTTGGGGCCAGTTTGTGAGAGATCTGATCATCATCATGAAAACCTCAGGATGCTTCATGTTGCTTGTCAAGGTCAATTATTTGGAGTGTGCCATGGGAACACATTGGGAGCAAAGGACACGAGATGGTATTCACTTGTGGAGAACTGGGTCTGAAGTAACCAGGGAGACTATGGCATGAGAGGATCAAAGTATCACGTGGCAGGCACTTGTGGATCCCACAGTGACTCGTTCCATGATGTAGATGTGCCAGCCATTCTACAAACCATTTGCAGATGGCTTGCGGACGTGAATCTGCAGTTCAAGCACCCTTTTCGTGTGCTGCCTTTTAACACTGAAACATCGGCAACTCTGTCTACAATGGCGTTAAGCCAGAGGGACATAAAATGCCACTGTCAAAATGTGGTGTTTAGCGATGAGTCCCAGTTTCTTTTAGATAAGAGATGATAACTGTGTATGGGTGTGGAGGCCCTCCTGATGAACAGTACAACTCTACCAATGCTGATGCGTTACACACAGCCCACAGGCATAATGGTTTTAAGGGGGTGATAGCTTGTGATAGCTGGTCCTTTTTAATTCTGGTACATGGAACTTAAACAGAGTAGTGAGGGCATTATGCTAATGACATTCTTTGACTCTAGACCTTTTCCAAATTGTTTTCCAGGAGCAATTTTCCTGTAGGATCATGTTTGTCTGCAGACAGCTCGAGTTGCTCCAGACTTTGTATGTAATGTTTAGACTCTTCTATGGCTAGCCCACTCCCTGTCTTGTGTCCCCTATAGAGCATGTATGGAACCAGCTGAAATGCCAGATGCCATTTTGTCGCTCTGTACGTGATTTGAAGGTGGCTGTTCAAGATTTATGGGCTCATATGCTTCAGGACAACATTGAACATTTAATCAACTTAATGTTGGATTGCATTGTGGCATGTATTGCAGCAGGTGGTGATGTGCTAATGAAGTAGCATTATATTTGTGTAACTGTACACAACGTATTTGTCTTGATATTGGGATTAAATTAATCTCTCATCTGTATCCTTGTGTGTATTACATATCATATCAATCCAAGTAGCAAAGCAACGTTGTAACGACGTTGCAAACTCGTCACGGAAGTCGTCGCAAAAATGTTGCAATATGTCGTCTTTAAAACTCCCAGATGTCCGTGAAACTCCACTGTTTTGCAACCGCAAAAACGTCTTTATTACGTCTTTGCAGGTGAGGATTTTGTCGCATAGACACCGTTATTGCGTCTTTCGCAGGTGATATTTTGGTTGTGAAAGCATCGGATCATGACGTCTTAAAGACACCCAAATGTTCACAAATAGTTTTTTGCAACAGTTGTGAAAATATCATTACATATTGATTTATGCAGAAAAATAAGCAACAAATAAGCTTAATAATTAATATACGAGGGCTATCCAGAAAGTAGATTACGTTTTGGAATAAAAAAATAAACAAAGTATAGGAAACAAATTTTATTATATACAGATGAAAGCCAACTCAAATACTACTTTTCTACATAGTCACCATACAAATTAAGGCATTATCGTGTAGCGATGTACGAGCTTGGAAATCCTTCGTCGAAAAATTCGGCCGCCTGCGCCTTCAACACTTGGTTACCCTTCTTGCCTTCCATCTTGCACAAAACTTGTGGTAACCAAGCTTTTCGCTGATGATTTCGTGCAACAAACTTCGCGAAATTTGTGGAAAACTCAAAGAAAGTTCCATTATTGTGAAATTTCGATTTTCACGACTTAGCATCGACTTTTCGAGAAGTTCGGCGGTCACTATGCTGGGTCTCCCACTTCGATCTTCGTCGTGAACATTGGTTCGGCCATTTTGAAATCTTATGACCCACTGACGCACTCCACCTTCAGTGATAATGTTGTCCCCCATACACTTCACGAAGCTGCCGATAGATTTCTATCGGTTTACAGTTTTTTGCAGTCAGAAACCTATTACTGAGCGCACCTCGCAGCTCACGGGATTTTCAATTAACGCAGACATTTCAAACGTCACAGTATCTGAACGGAGCACAGCACCGACCCTCTCACTAGCACGGCTAGATGCAGACTGAGCTGCGCAACGCTCTGACCCCAAGATGGCCGCGCTAGCCCCGCCCCTAGCGGACACAGACGGAAACGTAATCTACTTCCTGGATGGCCCTCGTATTTTCTTCTTTTTTAAAAATTTTGTATTCCTTGTACAGTCAAAAGTCATTATTCCGGACGTCCATAATCCGGAATGATCTATAATCCGGACATCAAAGCTACAAACTTTATGCGCATGCGTAAATGCATTACGCATAATATGTTGACGCATGCACATTTAATGTATAACGGACAGTATAAGCTAAGCTAAAATTATCTAATTATCTATTTCAGTTAATGTTGCAGATTGCGTTGTTCCTTAATCTTCTAATTGGATCTGGCTTATTATTTTTTGCAGACTGTTAGAGCAATTTTATAAAAATAAGCTTGAACTTTTGATTATGTCAAAAAGAATTTTTGATTCTGGAGCTGTCAAAGGATCTACAAAGCGAAAGCATGTTTCGATGTCCATCAAACAAAATGTGGAACTGCTGCAAAAAATGGATAAAGGCATATCCTTTGTTTCTCTAACCATTCCAAAATCTGTTTATCAATTTCACGCTGCTCTGCAGGGGGGGGGGGACGTAGTGGCGCGCAATGAACTGGAAGTTGATCTGACAGCACTATCCTTATCGTCAGGGCAGATGTTTTTATTTTATTCTTCCATACTAAATGTAGTATTTCATTTCGATGTACTCCATCTTTGATACAATTTAAATCAAATTCCTCGTCATTTTAAATATCAATAATACACATCAAATAGTTTTCTGGTTGCAGTTTTCTAATTTCGACTATGCGTAATGTATGCTTTACGCCTGCGTGGGTTGAAAGAAATGTTTAATAAAGTAAACAAAATAAATATTAAACTTTTTTTTTGTAAATTTGATACCCTTTAGATCATAATTGCTCTTTATTTCATAAATTACGGTTTCATATTTTTAACTTCATAATTTCTGCACGCCATCTTGCCAGATTTAAACTGATGATCTATAATCCGGAAAAACCGATAATCTGGAATCGCCAAAGTCCCGACGAGTCTGGATTAAAGACGTTTGACTGTATTTATATAAAGTTTAAATATTTTATCATTACCTGAAAACTAGAAGATAATACAATTTTTTCTCTTTAGACTAAATATGCATAATTAATAACAGCCTTAATTATTTTCAGTACTTGAAACTGTATTTTTTAAATAACTTAATTTCTAAGTTACGGTTATTTAAGATTTCATCATTTTTTCCCTTAAGTGAGAGTAATTATGAAAGTGGTTATTATAAATGTATAACATTAATAGTAGGTTTTAAGTAATTAGACATAAGTAAAAGTAAAAATATATATGTGGGTTTAAAAAAAAAAAAAAAAAAAAAAAAGAGCATTTCTGATATCACATTTATTTCTGTTAAATCTCAGAGACATTGAAAATTGCTTGTCGTGATAAATTAAGAAGCGGTTCTGAAGGTAACATAATCAGTATTTTACCTGAACACAAGTATAAATTTATTCGCGTTTCACAGTAAAAAAATATAGCCATTAACTTCTATATCTCCAAGATATTTAAATGAAAGACAGTATAAAGTAGTTAATAAATGTGATGAAAAATATACCTAAATCTAATAACTTCTCATAGTCATATATAAATGAAATAATAACCTAACAAACAACATACGTGACAGCACTATTTAAGAAAAAACATGAACTCATAGGGTTTGAAAGTATAAAAAGCAGAAGGAAGGTAACAGAACTAAAATTTCCAATTAATAATAATAATTAAAAAAAAAGTGTTTTTTAAATAGTAAGCAATTAAAAGTGCAATAATTATGGATTGCAGTATTTACTAGTAATGCTGATGTTTCTTAACTCCATTTCTTTCGATAATATGTTAATGTATTTACTTATTTTTAGTTTCTACATTTTAGAATAGTGGTAGATTACAATGATTATTTCATGCACTTTTTATAATCAATAACTTTCCTTTTGTTACTGTACAGAAATAATGGAAATAATATAGTATATGCTAGTACATTAAAGTAAGCTCTTCGTTAAATAGCACACGTTGAAACTTTTTGTTTCTATTTATCATGAATTTGTTTGTTATCACAAGTACATAAAAAGTAAGCAAAGAAAATAGGATATACTTAAATTTAATAAAAAATAAAACCTAATTTCCAACATTCATTTATTGAGGTAATCTAATAAACTTACATAACGGTAGTATTTAAAAAATTGCGAATTACACGGTGTTTGGAAGAATAGATACCAAACGAAAAGTAATGAAACTGCAATTTGTAATTAATAAAAAATGTTTAGTGTTTTTTAATATTACACAATTAAATATCACATAATTGTAGATTACAATATTTCATAGAAATGCTAATATTTCCTTAACACTAGTTTTTCGATCATACATTTCATACACTGTTTAAAATCATTAACCTTTTCTGCATACTGTACAAAAGACAATATACTTATAAGAGTGTGCATTATTATTAATTTTAATAATCCTAATGCTTATATGCTATTACCATATATCTAATTCCTCTTTAGCAGTCATTATTAACGTACTGGTACCAGTTCAATAATTTCTTTGTATTTTGAAAATAATGAACATACCATAACAGCTGAATTGTTGTTGCTTCTGTATTGATTGCATTTTCAGCAAAACCAGAAAGTGCCTTACTGTTGTATGTTATTTTTGGTTTTATATGAATTAATTCTGAGAGCCAACTTTTTAATATGAACACAATAATCGATTAATATGAATGATATGCGATATAGCACTTAGGACATTATAACTGAAGCACAAAGCTAATAAGTGTACCCAAATATTGTACCGATGCAACCACAGTGATTGGAGACACACTATTTCCACCAAGACACTATTTCACGAACACTATATTCCACAGACCACTATAGACCACAGAGACACTATTTCATGAACACTAGATTCATGATTAGCATTGTAGCAGTTTTGTGCTTATTTTGTGTGTGAATATCTGTTCTTGTAGAGCAGATATTCACACACAAAATAAGCACAAATTTAGCATTCTCACAATGATTTCTTCTCAATTCAGAGGCTTCCGAGCAAGAGCTCACAGCAATGGAATTTCACTTGCTGAAGGCAGTTGAAGTAAGTAGATACAGAACAATGAGAAGATTCACAATGCGTTCTTTGATTGACAGCATGTTACATTTACTTTTAATATAAGCAATATGATTTATATCAGTCATTGCTTGATTCAATTTTAAACATGCAGTCAGTCTTTTCAAACGCCTTACAGATGGCATCTTTACCAAATTACTTAAAAGAACTGCTAGAATCTGAATTAATTGCGTAGTTCCTTGTTCAAATTTGGCAGCTAGCCAAAGCGTGCAAATCTCGATATGTTCATTTATATAAACATCCAGTAAATAATGTACAGGTCTGCTTCTCCTGACTGTAGATGAGTTTTCCATCGTATATATTGGACAGCCTTGAATTCATCCTTATTTCAAAAATAAGAAATAGTCATATTTCAGTAGTGAAATAATTGGTAATGTGATTTACATTGATTTTGGAAATATGATATTTTAAAGTATATAAAATGCATAACTTAGTAACTTACTTTATAGATTAGTTTCATTTTAAAATATTTTGCTATAATATTTACAAAAAATATTTTAAGTATAAATTATTTTAACAAAATTTTAAACAATTATTTAGCACGCATGTTTAGTACTAATTAAATTTAATAAATCAAAAGTATTTATATTAAATTTACATTTCATTCGATAGGTCTACTTAGAATAATATATTTAGATGAAATGAAGTAATGAAACACTGCAAAATAAATCTTATGCGGACTTCAGATTCTTGAGAGGGCAGATTTAGTCTCTTTTTATTCTAAAAGTAATGCTGATGAACTCCCCCCCCCCCCGAAAAAAAAACACACCACGTCCAAAAGCGGTCATATCATGACATTTCAGAGACGTTGAGAAATTGCCAAGATGCAATGGCAAATATTTTGAGTCTTCACAACGTTGTAAAGATGTCATAAAAGTTACCACGAGCACTTTGCAACCTCTCGGACCAGTTTGCAATGTTGTTTGCTACTTGGGATCTGATGCTTCCTTCTTGGTGTGCTATTTTCAGTAATCTTGAGTGTATATTCTTGTGTTAAAAGGTAATTTAGTTTATTGCTTTTATGCATTTGAGGAAAAAATATGATTATGCATCTTGAACTGGGTAGAAAGTATAGAAATTTATAAGAGTAAACATTTGCAAGTGTAAAATTTCTGCAGTCCTGAGTATTTTAATTATTCCTTGAATGAATTATGAGTAAAGTTTTTAAATTTTACTTTGTGCTTTTTACTTCAAAATCTGCTTCCCTTTTTAGGATGAAAAGGAAGACTTTCGACGAAAAGATGAAATGAATGAAAATGATTCTGACAAAGATGATGATGAATCTGATGATGATGATTACGATGGTGATGATAAAAGAGAAAAAGGTATTTCCTAGTCTTTTTGGCTAGCTTAAAATTTAACTAGATCTACTTAAAATGTCTGTCTTGCAATTTCTCGCAAAGACTTGAAGATGAACGCAGCAAGGGAAGGGTGTAAAAGACCCTTTTATTCAACATAATACTTTACAGATGACGTGGACTTAACTTCTTAACTTCTTACACAGTCACCAACTTCTTGTGGTGAGGAACTTAAAAAGATAATGTAACGACTAAATTCAAAGATAAAGGCTAGTGCAAGACTACACAATTCAGTTTCACCTAACAGGTTGAATATTTCAGCAGGATAATAATTCGGTGGCAAGAATGCAAAGTCAATATTAGGTTAATAGCTAGAAGTAAACAGCACTTGTGCACTCACAATAGTGAAGTCACACTTTGCCTAACCTTCTTGTTCCAATAGTTTAAATACTTCGTTTACTCATTTATCCTGGTGAAAAAACTTGAGGGGAATAAGAGATACCTGGAAAGATTCACAAATTAAAATACCTATTAGTAAAAATAAATAAAACCCTACACACCAATTTGAATGTATTAATGTTACTATTATTATTACACACTAATTTTAATGTATTAATGTTGCTAATAATATTATAAATATTTTTAAACATTTAAATTTCTTTTGATTGTATTTTTGTTTTTTCTATATTATTACAGTATTGCGCATTGTTTTACTTACTTATTTTGTGTATTTGTTGCTTTTAGGATAATGATTATAGGGTTTATTTTATATTTAATCAAATTTGTGACCACATGTTTTGCATTTGAGGGTTTATATGTTTTTTTTTTATCTTTTATTACTAAGTGCAATAACATTTGACTTACTAAAATACTCCAAGTAGAACATGATATATGAGCTGGTGACATTTGGCAGTTTCTTGTTGACTTTCTGGAAGGTTTGGGTGAACAGTTTTTCAAAGCCCTCTGACCAATTTTTAGAGTTTACTGTGCTGTTAACTTTGAGAACGGACAATATTTCTTGTGTGCTAAGGAAAAATCCCCATTCTCCTTGAGCTATTTCCAGTTATTTGTTGTGCTGTGTGTGCTATTTATTGTGCTTATTTTTATAATATATTGTCAGTTTCTACCTACTGATTTGAAGTATTTGGGTTGCTGCTGCTCTATTGGAGTGACTCAGTTGTAGTGACTGATAACTGACTGAGTTGCATGTAAGTTAGGTTGCATATTGAACTAACTGCACATTAAATTAAAAACGTATTTATTGTAAATCTATCAGAAGTGCATTAGCTATGTAATAACAATTGATAATCAATATTGAATGCATATGGGTAGTTAATTAGAAGGTAATTTATTGTCTTTTAAATTTCTGTCTAGAATATATTGCAGACTGAATTAGTGAAAAAAATTTAGTTTTTCAGTTGTATTTCACACCCTGTGATTCATTATAGTCAAATATGATATCAGAGGAGTTGCAGAATCATTGGTCGGTCACCCTCCTAAATCAAGAAGTTTTGATGACAGAAGCATTGTCGGTGGCTAAAATCTTCTGATACTGCTCGTGAAGTTATGGCTTTAGTAATGTCAAGTAGAGACAGTACTGAGCAAGTTACTGCTTCTGTAATCATGCTCTTCTGCATGTTATCTTGTTTTCCTTAACAGTGCAAAGATAGTGACTTATGCAGGGATCCTGCACGGTAATTTATTTTCTTTGAGGTCTGCCATGTTCATTTAAAGAGATATCAATGAACCTGTAGCTTGCAACAATATTAGCTACTTGAATATCTATTTTTCCATATTTTGTAATACGTTCACTCAAAAATAAATTTATCCTTATTTGAGTATGACTTTTTAACCCCCTCTTGTTTTTAAAAATTGAGTTAAGAATTTCTTGTCTAAAGTTTAAGAGTGTAAAGAATAGTTTTGTGTAGATTAGAACTTAATTTTCTTTTGATTTTTACTTCCTTGTACGAAGTAAAGGAAGTATTGTAATCGTGAAAAATTCCGAGTCTCATATTTCAACGGAAATATCCATTTTGACTGCTATTGAATGCAATTTAACAATGTTTTTGATTGACATACGTACTTAAGGCCAGAATAAAGGACTCCCCCAGCCCAAGCAAAAATTGTAAAACTGATTTAAAATGCATTCAGAAGAAATTTTTTCGTGGCGTGTGTACGTATCCCGCATAACTCAATAATGAGTGGCCTCAGAATGTTTAAATTTTATATATAGGACTGCTATAATATATAGTTGTGCACCTCCCTTTTTGGTTGCGATCTGCTGCACCAAAAGTATATAAATATGTATACACGCCCCCTCTGTTACTTGTCTCAGTGAGCTCAGTTTTTAAATTCTTATATGTTGTTAAATGGTGCATTTTTTGCTTTAAAAATGATTGAATTATGTTGTCATTATCATCCAGTTAAGGCTTTTATGCCTTTAGTTTACCTGCATGTAATAAATGTAGATTTATCAACGATTTAAAAGTGCGGCTAAGCCTAATTTTTGTTTAACATGTCAGCCATATTTGTTTACATTTGAAACTTAGCAGAATAGTGGATTTATTGCCAATGTAGAGAAACTAAGCTTCACAACAACAAAGATTATGTCTTCTTTTTTATTATTGCGAATTAAATTATGCTTAATCCATATATCCTGTGTATTAGAAATATATCCCATATATTAGCTCAACATAGCATCCGCAACAAATTAAGTCAATCTCTATGTCTTCAGTGTCTTTTTGCCGAGTGAAACCAAAAGTAAGCTTTCAGTTTTGTGCACTGAAAAATCTGCCTTCTTGCCTGCTGGTTGAATTGCTTGTTTTTCCGTATAAACTCTAATTTTAATTATAAAAGTTGTTCTTTAAATCATTTTAACTGTATTTATGTTTTATATTATTCAATTTTTAATGAAAATATTTTGAATTTTTATGTATTTTTGCCTTGTCGCAAAGTGAGAACTGAATTAATTGAATGAGAAATATATCTAATGAAAACCAAGGAAATAAGTTTAAATGAAATGCAGGAAAAAAATGTGTATAATATAATATTATGTATAAGGAAATTATGTGTACACATCAGATTTTTTTTTTTTTTTTTTTTTTTTTTTTTTTTTTTAAGATACACATCTTTGCATTTTGAATTGGGTCCTAGGCCTGTGTTGTGACATTGTAATAAAATCATGGAAAACCATTAATATTACGCATATTATTCTGTTATCAAACTGTTTGTTATTTCTTCTGTATTCTTAGTAAATAGCAGATTTTACTCTGCATGCTTGTATATTAAATAATTTTTGAAATGATACTGAATGCAATTGAGTTCATGTTTATTACATCTCTTCATTTTAGAAGCCTGTAATATTTGAATACGGTTGAAAAATGTCAGAGACTAGATTGCATATGAATTGTGTCTTGAAATCATGAAAAGTTTTCATTGAAATATTGAAAACTTGCTGAAATTCTGTCCAGAGAAATGAAACTGATTCTGCAATGCTGGTTTTGACTTCAACCCATTCACGACGGGCACCTCTGTTACCAAAGCATTGTCTTGGGACGGCACATTAACCGGATGCGTTGTCTTGTGGAGACGTGAAATTTGCACTCCTAAGCCTAACTTTGGAAAAAAATTCGTATAAATTAAATTTTTCATCCAATTGTTCCAATTTTTGGTGCATTATATCAGGTAGTTGTCAGAATTAATTTCAAATTTTTATTATTATATTTTCCTTAAAAATTTTATAAATACTCATTCTAGAATAATATAACTTTTCCCTTATCACACAAATAAATATATATGGAAAAATAGCCAAACAAATCACAGATTTTATTTAACACAACACATAATTAAAACTGTCTTTCATAAAAATTCAACCTGCAAACAATGAAAAGGGAAGCAATATTTCAAAAAAGAGACCGTGTATGATATTGTATGATATTCTTTGAAACATGGGTGTTCGTACACCTTGCGTATGTCACGGGAATAGAATATCTGCTGCTATTTTACTCAGCAAATTTGACTCATTTAGCATTTGTGTATGTTCTTCTACAGTCAGATAGTCTTTTGCCATTTAAAAAAAAAAAAAAAAAACTTGCTAAGGGTCTCAATGCCCAGAAACTAAGAGTAATAAAAAAGTCTCTAATGATAGAACATCTACTCCACTGTAACCAGATAAAAAAATAAAATAAAAATAAGAAAAATTATTAAATTAAATTAAAAAGTATTCCAGAGCATTCAGAACATGTTAATTTTTTTTATATGAAATGGTAAGAGCCATTACATTATTCCATACTAACGAATTAGCATTTGCGTGTATTCTTTTAGGTTCAGATACTGCTTTTGTTTGCCACTCTGAGGATACATTCATTTCAATGCCTTAAAAATCTAAAAGTAATTAAAAAAAATTTCTAATCTTTCTAAACATCTATCTCACTATATCCCAAAAATAAAAATAAAAAGTACCTCAAAGCAGTGCATTTGTTTATAATATCAAATGCAGTTACAGAGACATTACATTGCTCAACACCCAAGAATCTTACTCTCATTCCAAAACAAAATACCAAAAATAAAATACATTGCATAGAAATGAAGGTGGTAAACATACTTCACCATAATAAACAGGATATATTTCACCATAATAAACATACAGCTACATCTAGGGGCAACAAAAATACTAATTAAATGTTCTATCTAAAAAGTCAAATGTAGTACGCCTGGCCATAGAATGAATTAAATGGCTATTCAAATATGACACACCCGGCTGTGAGATAATGTTTGCTGCTGATGCATATATGACATGCCCATACTGAATGGGTTAATGGTTGTATCATTGTTAAATGGGAAATCACTGATAAAGAATGGGGTATTTGGAAAATTTAGCTGGTGAGAAAGGAATTAACACAGCTTTACACAACTGTCTTACGTGAAGAGGGGGGATGAAATCAAGAATGATCACATGTGGAATCATAGAAAGCAAGGTCAGATGGAAATTTCCGAATTTTCAAAAGATAGGTGACACCCCCCTTCAAGAAAAAACCTTTCTTATTTGTTAATCAAGAAATTCTTGTTTTTTAAACTATTGTTGCTTAAGTCTAATTAATTTTCAGTGCATGAATTTCATAAAATGAAACATTTTTCTACTACTTCTTATTAATTACTGCAAATCATGAATATGAACTTAATCTGTTTTATGTGTTTCTGTTATATATTTTGTGACAGTCATTTAACTGATTTGCTAGCATGCTGTAAATGTGTCACTTCTGGAATTCACTTGATTTGCCTATGTGGAATAAGGGGTAGAAGAGTTTATGTGCTCTTTGTTTTATCCCATATTTTTATTTCTTATTAGTTCATAAATTTATAATAAGGTGACAAAGTAGTCTTTTGAAGCATGATCAATATTCTGGTTTTTTTTTCCCCCGATTGTATGGGAAAATATTTTTGCAGGGAATATATCGAAAAAGTTTATCTGAAACAAAAAAGATGGGGAAAGTTTTGGAGATGAAATTTCACACTGTACTAACATTTATGTAGACATATGGTTATGAACAATATGTTAATTTTAAGTATTAAAATTGTTAGAAATTTCATAATAAAAATTGCTCTAAATGCTTAAATTTAGCTGAAATTAACTTTTGAACTTAAAATGAAATTTTAATAATTTAAAAAAAGTGACATTTTTTTGGATTTAAATTTAAAAGGAAACAGTTAAGTGGTTAATAAGCAGTTTGAATTAATGTGTTTTAAAACAGTTAAGTGGTTAATGAGCAGTTTGAATTAACGTGTTTTAAAATTTGATACATTTTTGTGGGCAGTTGTAGTTAAATATCTACATCTCATAAAGTCTCGTTTTTGAAAAATGGACTTGATGGAGATCAACTTGGTTTTAATTCTCTGTGAATCTCAGATAAATAATAACATTATTGGCTGCTTTCCCCCTCTTTTTTTTTTTTTAAATGCTTTGGAAAGATTTTGTAAACCTACCATTTACACGTAAACCTTGGACATTTCTCTTAAACCTATCCATTTTTATACTGTAATAAAAAGTCCAGCTCAACACTTTCATTTTTTCAACAAACTATGCATGAGTATAGAAAATGAACACTAGTCCATACAAAAAGTCCATAGCAAAACTTGAAAAGCGGTGCATGTTCATAAAAATTGGCATCGAGGATGTATGTTTGTTATTATCTAATAATTTTGATTCTAAATGATAATTTTTAGTTTTAATATGTTTTTTAATAATTTGTCAATTTATTCTGCAATTTTTTAAATGCACATACCTGTATATGTTTGTTTAATAGAAAGAAAAAAGAAGAGAAAGAAAAGAACTCTGATGTGCACACACGACCCATATTTATTATTGTCTTTTATATATTTTGATCAAAGTCATTGTGGCTATTTATTGGAGAAAGATATTGAAGAAATACTTTACACTCTTGGTTTGATGCTAACGAGGGCTCAGGTATGTGTATTGCATTCATTCAAAATGGAAACTTTCTTTCAAAATTATTATTTGTAGTTCTTTTAGAGTTTCTAATTTAATCATATATATATATAAATGAGAAATTTAGAGTACAAAGTCCGTAATCCGGACATCCATTATCCGGAATGATATATAATCATGATCTCAAAGCCACAAACTTATGCATGCGTGGAAACGCGCATGCGTAAGTGTGAATAATAATAGTGAAGAAAGTGACAGAAAAATTATTGAAAATGAAAAAATTTCCATTGACAAGTTAGTCGGTATTCTTGACACGGCAATTATAGGACTTGAACAGGTGGAACTTTGTAACTGAACAAGAAATTATGTCTGTTTATAGAATTAAAGAGAAAGTATTTGGATAAAAACGAAGCAACTTAAACAACTTACATTGAAAGAAATGTTCAATGAAGTAAACAAATAAATATTAAGCTTTTTTTTTTTGTAAATTTTGATACCCTTTAGATCATAATTGCTCTTTATTTCATAAATTACGGTTTCATATTTTTAATTGTATAATTTATGCATGCCATCTTACCAGATTTAAATTGATGATCTATAATCCAGAATCGCCGAAGTCCCGACGAGTCCGGATTGCGGACTTTGTACTGTATAACTTATGTTTAAATGTGGTTTTAGGACATCAACCGAGAACACTTTATATTATTTCTAACTTCATTGTATTTATCTTATTTGCATGTTTGCCACCAGCTACAAGATAACTCGTTATAGATCACATTGCTTAAATCACCGAGTACGTACTCGTATTGCCGTAGCTAATGCAAACAATGTTTAGGTTTTTGGTGTACAAAAAGGGACTGAATAATACACGTGGCATAATGAAATAGATCATTCTCAAAATGTAGATGCGATAACTAAATGTTTAGAATGAAAAACCTCGTTTTAGCCCAGAGGGGCTATTAGTCACAAAAGGGCATTTTGTGTTGGCTTATCATAAATGTCGGTACTATTCGGTTTTGAGAGCCGTAAAAAAAATTGCAGCGAAAATGTATGCGCAAAAGCGGCAAATCTAGCAAACGCGCCCATTTAATAGCACGCCAAATCTAGCGTACGCGTTGATTTCAGATTGCGCAAGTTTATATAGTTCTATATTTCTTACGACGCCGTTGACATACTAGTTTGATTTTTAAATCCTTTTTTGATTTTAAATCCTTATTTGATATCCTATGGATTTAACAATTTGGGAATTGCCCATGACGAAAAGTCGGCAATAGAATTTCGGGTAAAGTGCAGAATCACCCACTGCTTGACGCGTTTTTAAGAATTGCATATACTTGGTATCCATGTGCACATCGACCTATTTTCACTTAAAAAAAAAAATCCTAGAATTGCACAAAAATGGCACTGCGCACACCCTTGACTTTATCTATGTACACATCGACCTATTTTCACTTAAAAAGTAAAAGAAAATTGACAAAAATTCAATTGTTTTTACCCTTGTAAAAAGCGGCAAGCAAATACGTGAGCGATTCTGCACTTTACCGAGAACATTTTCAAAGAAAAGGCATCATTCATTATAGAAAATTACGTTTGAACAAATAACGAGATGAAATATTATGCTTTAGCGATAAGTCGGTAGCGAAATAGTGATGCAGGCATCCATTCAGTTATGTTTAGCAATTTTTATATAAATTATAATAATGATCTGAAATAGTTATTTACTCTTATGCTTCCATTCAGACATGTTTAGCCTTTTTCATATAAATTATAATAATAATAAAGTATTATATAATATGAAATTAACCTTTCATCTAAATTAAAACATCAATCTTAGATAGTTATTTACTGTTATACTTCCTTTCTTGCCGCAGTTATTAGGGTTACCGCAATTATTTTTGGCAGCATTGGCATCAACACTAGTTTGGCGATTTTTTACGGCCTTCGAAACCGAATAGTACCTAAATGACATACCAGTTCTTAAATTGTTGCCACCAAATTATATAGCCCTATATTATATATACAGAAATTAAATAATGAAGAGTCTGCATGAATCTATGTATGTTTCTCACACTGTGAAAAAAGAATGGTACCTAGAGCCATCAAATTTTGAATAATATAATTCTCCACCTGAACATGGGCACCTAGAAGCCCAAATTTTGAATTTGTTTTATTATCTATTTCATAATTTGTATAAATTTAATAAATTTTGATTAACAAACTCAATGATTTCAAAGTGAGCAATGGCAACACTGTAGGGGGGGAACATTATTTTCCCTTCAGCGAATGAGACTATCTATCAGAAATTCTAAACTTATGCTCTTTTTAAATATTTTGTGATATTGCTATTGAATTGAATTTTATGTAGTTTAAGTGCAAAGAACATGATATTTAATAAGTAAAGGCAGCACATAAACCGTTAAAAAAAGGGCGGGTCCCCCTTTGGGCATAATATAAATCTGAATGCTTTCAGACTTGGGTTTTTAATCGATTATTTTTTTTAATTAAAAAAATTTTTTTTTCCCGTTTTCATTCTCTTGGTAAATGTTATAATGAGATAAATTGTAATGAGGCAGGTAAAAAAAATTCCAAAAATTGTTTAGTTCTTGTTCCATTCTTGTTAAGAAACTAATGGGAAATAACATATCGCATGTGCGCGTGTTTTGCATAAGTCGCAGAACGTGTAGGTGTTGTTTATCTGTTTCCAAATCATTTCTCATCATCAGGGGGCAAAAATATTATTTCATGTCCCATTTCAGGTGTTGTTGCGTGAATTTATTTACTGCTATATTTAAATAACAAAACAACAGAAAATGCATGAGTGCAGGTACTCTTGGCCCATGTGACTGAGCACACAATATCAGTTGTGGCAGCACACATATTAAATATATTAATATTATACATATACTAACTGTAAATACAGTGCTTATACTAACTGTACATTTTTTTAACAGTCATTACCTTTATTTTGTGTGCGTTTAAAATAAACAGTTCCTTGTGTTTGAAAATGTGTGAACTAAAGAAAATGTGATTCATTTGCAGGTTAGAAAACTTATACAAAAAGTTTGTAAGCGGGAAATATTTCGATATCGCAAACTGACCGACAAGCCTATTGATGGTGATAAAAGTTTGAAACCTGATGGACCAAAAGTAAACATTGAAGAACTAGCCATTGGTAAGATCATTTAGAGTAATCAGTGTATACTTTTGATAATATTAAGAAGAATGTTTTTATAAAGTATGAAATTTAATTTCATTCTGTAATTTATTAAGGAATTTTTGTGTATTCTATACCTGTATCTTCTGAATGATTATTGTTATCAGAAGGTCTCATTATTTAAACAAATTATTTTCTTAAATAATATTCTGTTCTTATATAGAAAACATTCTAGTTCACTTTGCATGACAAGTCATGCTTGCTGAATTTAACGGATCTAGCTGAATTTTGATAGGCTAAGAGCATCACAGTATTTAAAACATTTAAATGCCATGTTTGTCAATAAATAGTTCCTTCTAGTTTGTGTGCATAAATTACAAAGTAATATTCAATTCTTATCTTAAATATTGAAAGTGTTATAAATGAAGCTTGCTTAAAAAGAATAATTAAAAGATAGGTGACTTGTATTAGAAAAAGGCAGATTCAAGAATTTATAAGGATAATTCAAATGAATATTTATGCATGTCCACAAGCGAATACCTCACAATGACTCTCTTTAGATGATTACCTCTAGAAATGACCAGTGTTTCTAATAATGATATTGAATGTTGCTATTGATCATGTTCTATAAAGCAACCACCTCTGCAGAACGTTAAAATTATCTGCAATGATGGGGAGTTGTGTTGGGAAGCCTTCACACATTGAAGTTGTAGCTAATAAAAACTTGCATTATCGCCAAGTAGAGAAAATTTATTATTAATTAGCATTTCTTTTTGTATTGCTTTTGTTTCAGGAAATAAAAAATGCATTCCATTATTTAAAACTGGTGAAGTAGAAAGCATAGAAGAAACTAAAGAGGAGAGTAACAAATCGTCACTTGTTAATTACCAAGGAGCACTGGTTGATGTTGGCAAACTAATGGAACAGTTAGAAAGAAGTGAAAAAGCTTGTTTGGAAGCAGATGAAAAATTAAAAGCCTTAGAAATTGACCTTCGTAAGCATAAAATTATTTATTAACAGTGTTATAAAATTATTTAAATTATTTTAAGTATTTGTGTAAAGTCCTTGTGTTGTTGTTTCAAATGGCTGGACACTTCTTAATGAATTTATCAAGAATGGGCATCGTGTAGTGGCCATTGAGTTGTCTTGAAAAACTTCCACATTTGCACTACGATGAGTAATTGATTTTACAGCCAGAAGAATGAACAAATTTGGTCCAAATTTTGATGGAGAGGATCCAAAGGTCTCACACCCTCTTCCCTTTCCGCCAAACCTCTTGAGAGGATGTTTGGCAAAGTAGTATTTTAAATGACCTAGACACTATGTATTTACAAACATCTAAGCCTTCTCTGGGATTTGAACCCAGGACAACAGTATAGGCTACCCAGAACTGACTGTACCAATCAAGGCAGCTTTTTCAATACAGTCAGCTGTTTCTGTTTCATCAATATTAGTGTGTACATCGCAAAGCAATACAATATTGTATACTGAAGTGACAAAAGTCATGGGATAGCAATATGCAACTATACAGATGGCAGTTGTATCGCGTAGAAAATGTATAAATGCGAAGTGCTTTGTCAGGGCTTTCATTTGTGTTCAAGTTATTCATGTAAAGAGGCTTTGACGTGATTATGGCCGTACGATGAGAATTAACAGACTTTGAACGCGGAATGGTAGTTGGAGCTAAATGCATAGGTCATTCCATTTCGGATATCGTTAGGGAATTCAACATTCCGAGATCCACAGTGTCAAGAGTGTGCCGAGAGTATCTAATTTCAGGCATAACATCTCACCATGGACAGCGCAGTGCTGACCACCTGCACTTAACGACCAAGACCAGCGACGTCTGCGTAGAGTTGTAAATGTTCACAGACAAGCAACACTGCGTCAAATAACCGCAGAAATCAATGTGGGACGTACGAGGGACGTGTCCGATAAGACAGTGTGGCGAAATTTGTCTTCCTTGGGTTATGGAAGCAGAAGAATGACTCGAGTGCCTTTACTGACAGCACGACATCGCCTGCAGCAACTCTCGTGGGCTCGTGAGCATATCAGTTGGTCCCTAAACGAATGGAAAACCGTGGCTTGGTCAGATGAGTCACGATTTCAGTTATTAAGAGCTGATGGTAGGGTTCGAGTGTGGCGCAGACTCCACGAAGCCATGGACCCAAGTTGTCAACAAGACTCTGTTCAAGCTGGTGCTGGTTCCATTATGGTCTGGGCTGTTTTTACATGGCATGGACTCGGTCCTCTTGTGCAACTGAACCGATCATTGACTGGAAATGGATACCTTCAGCTACTTGGAGATCACTTACAGCCATTCATGGACTTCACGTACTCAAACAATGATGGGATTTTTATGGATGATAATGCGCCTTGTCACCGAGCCACAATTGTTCTCAATTGGTTAGAAAAACATTCTGGACAATTCCAGCGAATGATCTGGCCACCTAGATCGCCCGACATGAATCCCATCGAACATTTATGGGACATCATCGAGAGGTCAGTTCATACCCAAAACCCTGCACCGTCAACACTTTCACAATTATGGACGTCTATAGAGCATGGCTCAATATTCCTGCAGGGGACTTCCAACGACTTGTGAAGTCCATGCCACGTTGAGTTGCTGCACTTCGCCGGGCAAAAGGAGGACCAACAAAATATTAGGAGGTATCCCATGACTTTTGTCACTTCAGTGTATTTTACTGTTTTACTTAACTAAGGTTGTGAATAATTATTATATGAGAGATGTTATTTTATTTATATCTTAGGATAAACATATTTTTTACCCATGAATAAATGGTTAAGCTTGAGTAATAAGGATAATGATTCAGATGACAGTGCTATAAAATCTCTGAGCTGGATTTAGTAATCAGAAAGAGGCATTTAAGATATGAAATATATATATGTCAGAAAAATAAAGAATATGTAAAATATTAAATTAGCAATGCAAATTTTCCTTCTGAATTCTAAAAATAGTAACCCCTCTCTGCACTGCATCATTTCGAGACTATTATGTGTCATATGATTCTTATGTAATTATGATGATGTAAATGGAACTAAAACTCAACCAGCCAATAGCAATTTCACAGCAATATTAACTGTCCAATCAAAATGCTTTGAAAACCAAAACTAAATCAGTTTTACTTCAGATTTCTTCGTGAACGTTACGCATTTGCTTTCCACGCTTTGGCCTAGCTAAACTGCTATCTGTCTGTCTGTCTGCTGCTAACATCACCACAAGTTGCAATTGATTTGGTTAGCATGAGAACATGCCTTTAAGTTTTTTTTAAATAAGAGGCTTATTTAAACTTTTGTAGTTACTTTCAGACATAGCGATATTTTACATCACGTCTATCAGGGGCTTTTGGACTATTTAACTTTTACCAAATCAAGTAAACTCTCATAGGTACATTTTGGAGAGGTTGAAAAGTTAGGAGATAAAGCACGCAGAAACTAGCAAGAGCATTGGTTTGCATATTGAAACAAATGTCTAATTGTTAGAAAAGAAGCTTAAAGAGAAGGAAATCGATATAAATTAGCCAAAATGTCTGGAAAGGCTTCAGATCAAAATGACGGATAAATATTTTGTTGAGTGTTGTTGTTACAAAACATATATGTTTTGTAGCTTTTAATGTGTAATTATCCTAAGAATCAATGTCATAAATTACATGTATTTTAAACTGTGAAATTTTATTAGATTTTGATTTTAACAGGGCTTTTTTAACAAATATTGTTAAAAAAATAAAATTTAATAGTGGCCATGTAAATGCATAATGACTAAGGTTATTAAACTACCTAATTTAATTATTGATAACTAACTGTTTACTCTTAAAAAGCCTTTCATTAACACTCACTGTGGTCACAAGATAAATTACAAAAATGTAAAAATTAAAGTAAAACATTCTCTTTGCATCTAGTCAGACTTAAAATAATACAAAACAACTTATCACCTCTGGTGCTTTAATGGCTTATTGGAAACATAAAGTATATTAACTGGGTTGCAATTCCTGAAACTCTACACGAAGCTACGACACTAACTGCATCAAAAAGAGCGTGACTGACTTTCAACACTTGCCAACCATGCCTACATCAGGCCTTTCAGGTTTGTTCAAATCAGCAGGTCTCTCTCTAAAGTTTATTTTATTCTCAAACTTATTAATAATTATGTTAATTAATTTATGTTTAGTAATAATGTATACTACTTAGGGATCGATTTTATTTTTAGGATGGTATTACAAAAGTGAAATTCAGGCATAGATAATATTTTAAATTGAATTTATTCAGTTTCCATTTGCTCATAGGTCCGTAATTTTTTTCATTAATGGTCCTTAAAAGTACTTAATTTCCGTCTGCAGAAATATGTACGAACCCTGTAATCCTTCACCCAAACATGTGTAACTAGAACTGAAATTTTATATTTCATATTTTGTAAAATTTTAATGAGTTGAAAACAAGCAGTGGTAACACTGTATAGAATAGAATTTTTTTTCTGCAGCATTCAAGGCTGTCTACCTGAAATTCTAAAATGCTGTTTTTAAATATTTTGTGATTTTGCTCCTGAATTGGAATTTATGGGGCACAAGTGCAAAGGACATATTTAATAAATAAAGTGGACGTACAAGATGTTATTAATAAAAAGCAATTTATAAAAAGTTTGGTAAGCTATCTTACTAATAAAACTGTTGATACAATAAACTTGAGAGGAAGGGGGGAAAAATGCTGTTAATTGTATATGGTGTAAGTGCGAAGAAAATGATGGCATGAGTGCCAGCTATCACGAAACATGCTCAAATTACAATTTTGTTGTTGGAATAGTCCAGCTATATTTATACATTGAATTTATGAATTCTTTTGTAATACCTGTCTCTAAATCTATATTAGTAATCTAATAATTTCTTTTGGCATGAATTTTGTGTTCATTTTTAGCATTTCTGATGAAATAAAATTTAGTTTTAAGCAATTCAGCCACATTAAATGAAATTATAAACTCTATTTCAAGAATTCTTGAAATCGAATTGTTTTCAATTTTGTACTAAATACAGATGTATGGTATTGTGGTATAAAAAGTGGTTATTAAAGTAAATCCAGGATAATTTTGTGTAATGCCATTACTGTGACATTTTCTACCATATTAAATCTTTTCAGTAGTTTTTAAACTATGTTTTCATTCTTATGCTCCTCAGTTTTGGTTGACATTCTGAATATTCAGGTTGAAATAGTATATAAATATATGTTTATGTGTTAATTATTTTTTCTTACAGAAAATTTGAATGAAGTGACATCCACAAAAGAAAAATTATCTCTGAGATTAACTCTTGACTTGGAAGAGCAGAAAGGGAAACTACGGTCAATGGAAGATGATCTTAAAAAGACGCGACAGATTTCGGAGAAATATCAGAAAGCATTATGTGCTGTTAGAGAGGGATTACAGTCATCAGTGAGTGTGATTGATTCTACTCTACCAAAAACCAAATCATCTAGATCTAGAAATAGTCCTGTTAATCGAAAGGAATCTGACTCTGAAAGTAGGGATTCTTTAAGTAATAAAAACAAACAAGACTCTAAATCAAGTAAAGATTGTACAAGAGAATCTAATGGAGTGACTGATAGCAATGGTGAACATTTGTCTATGGACCAAGAGAGTATTCATTCTAAAAGCAGTGATAAAGACATGATGGAAGGCGAGTAATTTTGTATTCATTTTGTATATAATTAGTCTGTATATAAAGTATTTAAATTTTTTATATGCCAAACAAAAATTTTAAATAATATTTATGCGTGATTGATACACTTATGCAGACGTGCCCTATTTATTATAAATATATCGTTTTGACTGAGATGCTTTCGAGACTAGCTGGGATTAAGTTCCTAATAAAACATGTACTTACGAAATTTGACTGTGCATTATGCAAATTTTAATTCCCCTTTCTTTATCTATAATCTTCATTTTGCATTTAATGATGCTTCCTTAAAGTCCTGTCTTGTTAGTTTCCTATTCAAATATAGTTTTTTATCTATGTTTCTTCTGTAATTCTTTCTGTTCTTTCTTTCTATAGAAATGTTCTAAGACACCAATTTTTGTTTTATTCAAATCTTAATTTTGTGATAAAAGTGAGTTCACTACACATATTTGTTTTGTTATAAATTTATTGACTAATGAATCACACACTCTTTTCTGAGACTGATGTTAAAATTCAGAACTCACAATATGCAAGAATGATACAAGTAATCTGAAATTTTTATGAATGAAATTATTTTATAAGCAGATTGGATGTAAATCATGGAACTTTTGTATTTATTTTGTAATACAGCATATTATCTCAGATTTTTTATCTAATAAATTGTTTTACTAAGTATATAATTATGTACACAAGCAGTGTGGAAATTTTTTAATGTATATTTTTTTTCTGTCTTCTAAGTTATGTACTTTTCTTTCATTTATTTCTGTGATGTATCATAATCTTACAAGAAAGCCTCAAAACCAACAATAAACTTGTAAGAAAATATAAGTATCTGTTTTTTTATTTATTTATCTTATCTACAGTATTTTCTGATCTACGGTTTTATCTCTACAGTATTTTCTGATTATCTGTACCCTAACTGAAAAGTTGTGGAAAAAGTGGTCACGAGGAAAGCTGTGTGTGGCCTAAGTAGTCATGTGCAACCTACATTGTCTTCAAATGTGTTTTTATGTGCCAACCCAGGTATGCATGTGTCTGTTTTGGTTGGTGCACAGTGCTGAAGTTGTTACGACGCTGAGTTTGCTCAGTGACCTTCTTCGAGTTGCTCCCAGGCGAGGCTGGCAGATGAAGCATGCAGGCGGAACCAATGTTGTTTTCACCACCAGTGGTGTCTGGCCAGGAGTAGGTGAGTGCTATGTTGTTCAGCCTGAGGAATGTTTGGCAGAAGTAGTGTGGCCAAGCATTGAACCTTTCCATCATTTGCCAGATCGATATCCTTCTATCTGGATCACACAGTGTAGGCTTGATGGAGACATGCCTTGCAATTCTTGAAGCAGGGAGCAGCATGGAAAGTGATGAGACGAATCACACCAGGGTTCTTCAGTGAATCATTTGTGTCTGAGAAACAAATGTCTATGGGGCTTCCATGACGAGGCATGACCGAGACAGGATGCTCCAGAGCAGTAGCAAGTGGCAAAAGTGTGGAGTGGTTGGCAGGCATCACACTAAGGCTAAAAATTAAGCAGTGGAAAATAAAAACAAAAGCCAAACTTTTGGTAAGATCAAAGCAATTAAATAAAATAAGGAAAGCTGGAGCTTTCATTGAAGCATTGGTAGAGCAGGTTAAAAAGCAAAAGTTCATAGATGCTTTCTTTGCCTTTTTAATTTGTTCGTCATCTAACAAAATTCAGTGTTTGGGATCTACATATATTTAACCCAGCAAGATCTCATTATCTAGCAAACTAGTTTCTCTTTACTTCATTGAAGAAATGATTCCTTCTGCAATAAGCCATTCCATTTTAGAAAGAATAAACATCACATTTTTCCATTCTTGCTGAAACAAGCCTCCTGTTAATTCTTTAGATTGTTCGTTGGGAGTCCGTGCTGCTATTGCTGCTTGCCTAAATTTAACAATGAGAAGCATGGGTAGCAGTGAGATTTTTAGCTATGCATCAATGAGATTTGATGCATTTTGTAGCCATGGGCTCCTTCTAGTGAATTATGCTGCAATAATGCTATGAGCTGAAGAAGTAACTAAATGAATCACTTTAATGAATAATGGCAAATATCACATCCATCCTCCTCTTTTATATTTATTAATATGTCAATCAAATGGAAAATAACTCAGTATTATTAATGTATATAGGCCATAAATAAAAATAACTCGGTTTGTTATTAAATTTTTTTTTCAATATACTTTAATTTAATTTCAAATTGAAACTGTCGAGCAAAAACTGGAGTCAGAGTGGACATGTTTTTAGCTACTGCAGCTCTGACTCCGTTTACCCCAAAATCTGCCTAACTCTGATTCCACAGCTCTGCTCCTAACAAAGACTTTTTAACTACCTACTAAATTTTGTGATAGTAGTGTTCGTATTAAGTGGTGCTTTGTTAGATTTCAACAGGGTTGCCACGCTGCCTGGAAAGGTCAGGAAATTAAAAAATTGACCAAAAATTGTCTGGGAATTTAAACATTTTACTCCAAATCTGGAAAAGTTGAAAGTTCATACGACCATTCCTCAAAAGAGCGATTTGTGCTCGTACGTTGGAAGTGGATTCTGAATTATGTACCACGTGAATGTCATTCTGGTAGCTGGCATAGAACTAGTTTTCGTAGCACGAATTGGATTATCTTCCAGAAAGGCAAAGCAAATTTCAAGTAGCCTGCAGAATCCAGAGAGCGTGATTTGCATATTCTTATGAAGAACAAGAAATCTGGGCATGTTGAATGAAAGAAAATTCTGTCTCATGGTTTAGAGAGCTTGTTTTTCTCTTGTCATCTCCAATTAAAAAATCTGGTAAGTGAAATTTTGTAATCTTAGCATTTATGAAATATTTTTTTCAAATGCATGTTGACTGGACATTCTGTCATATTTGTTTGTTAAAATAAGAATTCGTGCAATGCATTTTTAAAGTTAAAAGAAATCAATTGATGCTGTTTGAATCATACTATTAAGTACTATTAAAAAAAAATCAAATTGAACTGTAAAGCTTTTTAATATCGTTGGCAGCGTGGATGTATCATGACATTGAAATTATGCAAGAAAATGTGATACTTTCTAGGCAAGTGCCGAAATAGTTATTTGTTTTGAACTTGATTTTTAGATAATCCACATTTAAAATTTTCAAGAAACAAATGGTGGCTGAACTAATGGCCGAATTTTAGAAACAAACACATTAAATATAATAATATGTGCATCTCCTTTTTTGCTCTCTTTGTGTATTAAAAGTAAGTTATCAATCCTTCTCTTGAAATTTGCAGTTTGGTTAGCCTTCCCCCCCCCATTCTCGTACAAAACAAAATCTTTTAAACCTTTTTTTGTCTCTTTACTAAATGCCTTATTCATCATTTACAATTAAAATAGTAATAGTCATCTAGGCTAACCATTTAATATATCTATATTTCTTAAATACCATCGATTGTTGTGATTCAACTTTTAATCTTTTTTTTTCTTTAAGTACATAAACTTTATTTTAATGCTATTTGTATCATTTGATGCATCTTCTTCTAAATTTATTTATTATTAGTTAATAATACTTTCATTCAAATTTCAGACTGTTTTCTCTGACGTACTCATTAAAATAAATCTATCAACATAACTTACCATCATGAAATTTTGTATAAATATTTTTTAATGGGTTATCTGAAAAGTCATGATGCATTTTATATGTTCTTTAACCTTGTGATGGGCATCTCACCTTTTTTTTTTTATCTCTTTTTATCTCCTAGATGAAAGCTGAAAAATTCCATTTAAAATACATACAATTACACCTTTTAGTTCTCTAAATGTATAACAGATGGCAGCACTAGTATTCATTCATGGAAATAATGTAAAATAAAAATTCTTTACAGGTCTAATTTTGAAGCCGTTTTTTTTTTATTTATTTCTAATGCAATTTAAATCATCTGAACAACAACTTTTTTCATATATATTAATTAAGAATGGTTGAAATTAAACGGTGGCACCAAATATGTCCCACCGTGCATCTAGGAATTGCTACTACTAGATGGCAGCACCATTCAAATAGTTTTAAATTCAAGTGTCATGCTCATTTTTTATATGTTGATAATGCAAATTTGTATTTTTTAATAAATTTCAATAATGTTAAAACTTAAAAAAATATTTAGTATTTTTTCCAAAAGAAATGAAAATTAACTGTGTAACATGAAATGTCATTGAAAACTGAATGGATATATGAATGTGGGTTTACCATAGAAAAATATCCTAAGCAGAGGAAAGAGAGGTAAAATGTAAATAAACATGACGGCCTTCTAAATATCTTCCTTTTCAAACCTGTAACAAATAAAGTACTGGAGCGAAAAATCTCTGTTTCAAATCTATTATGAAATCATTAAAAAATATCTATCTAAAGAGTCGTACAGAGAGCTATTTTTTTTAATTTTTTAATTTTTTTGAAAAAAATATTTTTAATTTTACGAATATGATCAATATTTTCTAGATAATTATTCAAAAACGTTTTTTATATCTTGCATTTTTCATTTGGTTGCTAAAACTAGCACTTTAGATAAGCATATTAGGAGAATTTATGCTGAGGCAAAGATGCCATTTTACTGCTCTAGGTGCCCGGTGGAACAAGCAGTATCCCACGATGTGATAAATTACCTTAAAGGTTTACTTTTTTTTTTTTTTTGCATGACATAACATTGTATTAGGGGCTAGTTATCTATTTATAAAGTTATTTTTTCCAGAATTTTTTTTTTATGCACTGAACCTCAAAGGGTTAAAGGTCCTTAATTGACTGATCATTGCTCTTTATGCAGTATATAAAAAACAATGATCAGTCAGTAGTATATATCCTGTTTTATTTGTTAACTTTTTCACTTTCTTTTAATGAGCTTCATAATTCCTTATTCATAAAAGAATGTAGCTTTATTAGTGAAAACTGAACAAGATGCTGATTTATGGCCTCATCTGAATTGAATGTTTATACCACAGAAATTTTGAAGAGAGTTGAACAGGTGAACACCTGTTGTGGTGACGAGGTTTGAAGGAATAGTCCTTACATAGCCTATGTGTGTTGTAAAAGGCGACTAAAATAGGTATCCAGAATCCAGGGATAGCTGGGTACCTTGCCCTTGGGGATTTAATCAGGGGAACTGGTCCTCAAGATTGGGGTTTGGGCATGAGGCTCAGCCTCACCCCATGAAAATCCTATTGTTACAAAAAAAATTTGGAAAAGTCTGCTGTTTCACTTATGCTGTTTCATTTTTTGTAACATGTTTGTAATGTTTTGTAACCTTAGACCTAGATGCATGTTTTGTAACCTTAGACCTAGATAAAAAGAAATTGCTCCAAGTATGCTTGGATGGACCAAATGTCAATCTTAAATTCCTCAGAGATTTGAAAGAAAATTTAGCAAGTAATAATGACTGTCATTTATTAGATATTGGGTCCTGTGGTTTGCATGTCCTTTATGGCGCCTTTAGAGCTCGGCTTAGAGTTACTGACTGAAATGTAAGTGCATTGTTTAAAGGCATGCATAAAATATTTAAAGATAGTCCTGCTCATCGAGCAGATTACATTGCCATCACTAACTGTGTGACTTTTCAGCTACAATTTTGTGAAGTAAGATGGAGCAAAAACATATCTGTTGCTGAGAGAGCTATTGATATTTTTCCTCATGTGAAAAATATGTGTAGAATCATCTGTACTGCCAAAGGCTGTATCAATTGAAAGGACTGAGAAAAGCTGTTAAAGATAAGCTTCTTTTGGCAAAAATCTCTTTTTTTTAACTGTTACGGAGTTCCACATCCATTTCTAAAATAATTTCAGACAGCTGATCCTATGTGCCCTTTTTTGTACACGACTAATAGTTGAAAGAAGCCAATTTAAGTACAACTTGATCAAATAGATTTCTTTATTAGGTTTTAAGTTCTGTACGTCTAGTGAACTTTCATGTGAGAAGAGGAGAGGTTACTGCATATACTGTCTGAAAGTGAATGGATAAATCCCACAGTTAAATGTGCACTTTAAAGATTTTTTTATTCTGAAGTAACGTTGTTTGGAAAGTTAGGGAATTTCATTCTCCTTTTTGAGTGGTAACCCTCTTTCAAGATAATTAATGCTGTTAATGCAGATTCATCAGCATGCTGATTGTTGAAATGCTTGAAAAGGTTGTGGTTTAAAATTGTAGTTTGAGAATATTTTGCAATATGAAATGTATTGTGGTTTTTGTGAACCATTTTTTTTTCTTGTTGCGCAAGTCAATCCGTAAGTACATACTTGTCTTTCTATCGCCTTTTTTTTGACATATTGAGTTATTACAATTAATAAAATAATAATTTGCAGAAAATCTTCATATAATCAATAGATATAATTTATAAAGAAAATTATTCATTTCTGCATCAAACCTATTGACTCTCTCACTTAGACTCTGAGGTAGCAGAGTATTTAGTGATAAATCAAGTTTTAACCTAAAGGCTGATTCATGATGCATGTGCAGTTACTGAGCCTCGAGGACATACACATAATCTCAGAAAGAGGTTTTAGCTTGTAATGAGCTCTCAAGGTCATATACATTTCAGCATACATTGACAGCCATAGCTGAAGTTTATAGGGGTGTCATTCCAAGGTTGAGTATACCTTCACATATACTCAAAACTTTTAATACAGTAGATGAGGTTTATAGGCATGAGTGGCGTTTGATGCCGAGTTCCATGCAACAGATAATAATATATATACTCAAAGGTCTAGATCGGTTCTGCAGTATTTAAAAACAAAGCTTATCCTGTGGTATTAACCTAAGCATATCCTTTGGAATCTAAGGGCCCACCAGTGGTCGAGTGGTAAAGTCGCTAAACACTGGTAGTTTGGTCCGAGGTTCGAATCCCGCGAATGGGCTGGCTGCATGGGCGTTTTCGTGGTTTTCCCCATGTGTAACGTGTATATGAGCCACTTTCCCTTAGAAAATCCTCCACGAAGGCATCCCTCCCCTTAGGCAGATATACCTTGGGACTTTGCCATAATCACACATACGCACACCTTTGGAATCTAAACCTCACTGAAGTTGTATGGAACATTTCTGGCAGGTTAGGCTACAGTGCTTAACTCCATCACGAACCACATGATAGCTTTAAAGAATTTGAGAGACTTGATTTATTAGTCTACAAACACTGCATACCTTGACTAATCTTCACAGAAAATCATGTGCCATGTTAAAACTTCTGCTGTAAGACATATCTTGCATATTTTGTGCCAGATCCAACCCTCCTTTTTTTAAAAATTAAAATAATTATTTTGTGAAAATTTTTAAAAAGTACAACACAAAAAACTGTTTTTAATATAAACTTTATTATAAAGGATTTAAAGCACATAATACCATGAAATTCGTTTGTTATTCAAACTTATCAATAAAATTTCTCCATCTGGAGAACCATAATTTGTCACAGCGAGTACAAGCAACAGTGAATATTTAATCTTTGAAAAGAACCAAGCAATAAAAAAATTCCCAAATCATGGATAGTTGATTTACATTAAATTTGTATGCCTTAAGGTTATATATTTATCTGTATTTCAGACATTTAAAGCACAAGAACAAAAACAATATTTTGCATGTGCTAATTGTTTTCATAAATCTGGAGCTTCGTACCCCTCAGAAGCAGGAATTTTATTAAGTAAAGTTTATGCTTTTATTTAAAACAACTTTGGTTTTTCTTTGTCAAAATAAGCAATATTAATCTGAAATTGTTTGACAAAACTGAGAGTTAAATAATTTCATGGATCTAAAGTAAAAGGAAAATAATCTATAAATATATTTGCGTAATAGATGCATTGACAGGAACCAAAAAAGCTGAATTAAGTGTTAATACAAATGGCAGTATGTGATTGTAGAATATTTTGTGAATACAGTAAAATCCTGCTTAAAATTGAAGTGATGAGGGAAAAATAATAATGTTAATTTGGGAGGCTCAAAAATCATTTAAATTTTTTTACATCAACTTTATTGTTTCATCCTGTAGATGTAAATATGTGTTTTATAGTGAAAGTTAGTGATCTCATTTCAAAGAAATGTAACATCTCTCTGTAAAAAATGGCACTCATATGTATTGCTATGAAACTGTGGCAAGATGCATATAGGTAAGTGTTGCACGAAAAAATTCCAAAAAAGATTACTCGTATTTAATTGCGCGGGTATGTAAAATATATAAATACAAATATCGAAATACGCAGATATTGGTATACAGTTGCAGTGGTATGCATGCTTTTAAAAATCTTAGCTGTGTTTATTTATGCCTTTAATTGTCAAAATTGAGTCAGATATGTTTGAAAAGGCTCCCTCATCTGTTTGGGATTTTACTGTATTTTAGAAGTTATAACTTGCAAGATCTGTGAAGCTATTATTTTGCATTTATTTCTGATATTTAAAAAGTTCATTAATGTATTTTAACCCTCTGAGCACCATGACCAGCTTTATCCAGTCATGAGATTTTTGGTCACTTGTTATATATTAGCTTATAATTTAAGATGTTTTGCTTCTTTCTTCAATGCCATTTTGATGAATGTAAGTTTATGAAAATAGATACAATAGGTAAATAAATATACATATTATTTAGCTAATAAAGGCTCTTTAAATGCAGGTCTTCATAACAGATCCAAAAGCCCATGCCACTCAGAGGGTTAAGTGATAATTTTATTTTTTCATAACAACCTATCAAAATTTCATGAATTAAAGATTAAAGTTAATTACATTTGAAACATTTAAAGCATATTAATGAGACATCAAGCCTCCAGTTAAACTTCAGATTTTCTTTAAATTAACCACAAAATAAAAACCTTAGTAAAATTGGAATTTTCTGAAAAAGTGGAAGCAATTTTTATGTAAGTTATGTTGCATATTTTGTTAATGCTATTAACTAAGCAATTTGAATTTAAAAGAAATATTTCTTAAGAACTAATTTATTTGTATATTTTGTGTTTAAAACCTCTCTATTGTAATAGTTATCTTCCATGTAGAGGACACTATTATTTATGCTTTAATAACATTGGAATTTAATTAAAAAGAATTTGATTAAAAAAAGAAATGTTCAGATTTTAGATTAATTTTCCAAAACTGGAAATCTATACCATTAATAAAAATAGTAAAAGACATACAGGTAAGAAAACCTTTTGTAATTTAAAATATATTTTAACAATATGATTATGAACTCTGGAAATTATTTCATTAAAGTTGCATCTTATCTAAAACTTGCAACTTAAAAAGTATCAATTTATTAAGTTACAACTGTAATGAAATTCATGCATAATATATATTAAATTGTAATAATATACTAATTGAAAATTACTACTCTAAATTTTATTTGAAGTTGTAGTTATTTTTAAATCTATAAATTTTATGAATTTATTTTTAAATCTCTATAAATTTTAGCATTATTATCTATACATTTTATGCTTCATACAATGCATTATTTAAAGGTTTACTAAAATTATAAAGAAAAATTCTTTTTATTGCAAACTATGAATTGTAATGAAAATTTCTACAAAATCCATAATTGCGAACAAACTGTTATACTGATTTTTACTCTGCTTTACTTCAGTGCAGTTATTTTAATCGATTCTTTCTTCTAAATTTTACCTACTACTAGAGGACACTATTATTTTATTACATAAAGAATTCTAAGCATTGATATTGTATTGCAATTTATTAAGCATTTCACATGCTTTCAGTCTGCTACTTTTTACAATGTGTTAATGTAATTATTTATATTTCTGTAATTTCACAGCAAATTTACTTCATTCACAGTTATCTCCTGCAAAGTGTTCTTTCCAGTTCCATAGTTTCATCATAAAAAGCCAACTTTAAGTAAAAATGCGTTAATTTCGTCATAATTATAAATTACCTTAAATTAATAAATGCAACATTTGTAATAGTTATGACTGCTGATTTGAATTCATGCAATTGACTAAATTACAAAATTGTTTATGAAAAATATGCTTATTTTTGGTCACAATATGGCAGGAAAATGAAACAATTAAGTGGTTAAAACAGTTTTACATTTCATATCTTTTTTTAATAAATATGCTGTATTTAAAATCATACAGAAAATATGCAAGCATGATATCTGTTATTATCCATTATTTCAGATGGTATATTAAAACATCCTTTTACTTATACTTTTTACATTCTATGCTAAAATTTTTTACTTTGAAACTTTGTAAAACTTATTTAGAACTCCTGCTTCTTTTTCATTAGCATTCAGTATGCTTAAAAAGGCTTTTCGCATTTCTGCAGACAAACACTTATTAATCCATAATAAAACAAAATATTTTAAATGATTTTGTACTTGCAAAATTGACTATATGGAAAAATGTTTTTATTAAAAAGAAGTGAATGTTTGAAAATTTAATGTGTAAATTTGAAACTAAGCTGGAAGAGAAATGTTGAGAGATTTGTTGAATAACTGAAATTAAATGTGCAATGTAGGAACAATCTATTCAATGCTATGTGTTCTCTTTCTGCTACAAATCATAATCATTGATGAAGTAGGAAACGTGAAGCTAAATTTTTCATCAAAACGTTTCTAGGGAACTCTGCAGCATTTAGAACTCTTACAAATTTTTAAGTATAAGAAAGAATCTCCACCCCCTTTTCTTTGAGTTAAGAAAAATTATTAATTTATGCAGAATTTAATCTTAAGTTCTGTCTTCGTAGTTATGTGTTGCATTTAGCAAGTTTTACAAATATTATGTAAATATTGTTATTGATATGAAACACTACAAAGTATATGAATGTGACTCTTGAATGTGACTGCGCAAAGAACTTCTAGTCTCTCGAGGTAAATTCTATGCCAAATGATTTCAGCCTGATTTCCGTTTAAGACACATGTGGGTGCCAAATATCATCCGCATCATATGCTGAAAATTTACAAAGAAATGTTGTCCAGATTAACAACATAATGTACCAGATAGACATGAAAAATATTTATATCTAAGCATAAATTTTGTGTTTATGTAGGATATGTAAGTGCTTCGATGTAAAAGAATGTGCCAACATTAACAACTTTCCATCAAAGATGGAAGTGATCCTTTCTTGAATCCAAGTTAATTAAACGGAAGCAAATGCCAACCATGTATCTTGGCTGAGATATTGGTGAGTTGGTTGGCAATGCACAATGTGGCACCTGCTTTGCAGAAATTAAGGCGGAAAACACATCAACCCGAAGGTGGTGTTGGAAGCGGCGACGAAAGCTGAGTTTTGAAGTTGTGGCTTCAGTTTTTGTGTTTCAGAGGAAAGTGTAAGGCCCATCCGTCAAGGCGCTGCAGTACAAGAGTCAGGAATTGTCGTCTCTCTCTCCTCGATTCGGCTGGTATTCTAGGCCAGGGTCGAACTGCATCAAGACGAATATCTGGTAATGAAAGAATAAGTAAAATTTTATTTTAAATGACAGATTTCTTCTTAAAACAAAATCTGTTGAAGAAGACTCATTCATGATAACATGGAAATTATAATAATACAGTAAAATAAGTTACAGTTTGTTCATCTACATGAGTTAAAACAACAAAAATCCTTATGCCAATTTCCATGACCTAAGCAGGATCTGGTTACCTAGCAAATGAAGTTTAGCTTATGCAGGTTGTGATGGAAAAGCCTTTATCTGAAGTTTCTTTAGAGTGTGCAAGAATTTTTAGAAGCTTCTTGGTAATTACTCTGTGAATTCCTCTTACCAGTAATAGAACCTTGGTTCATTGTTGCTGGTTGAGACAGCATTGGTTGAAAGCATCGATGACCTTGCTCAAGTGCACAGCAAGAGATAGTCTGATATTACAGGTGCAAGAAGAGGCTAATAGACAACTATTAATGTCCATTTCTTCTTGAATCCAACCTCCCAACCTTAAGAACTACCTACTATACCAAACAGCAACTTGCATTAACTGTTAATGGATTAAGTTCATTCAGTTCCTCCAACTGAAAAGAGTAATACTTTCAAGAATTACTGAACTATCTGCATCTGCTGTCTTGCTTGTATAAAAACCAGAATTTATTGCTGGTATTAATAGTCATTTGGAAGATGGCACTGGCAGAAATGTATGCAATACTGCTGCTGTTCTTTTCTCTTTACATGTGTCATGCCATTTTCATTCTCAAAAAAGGAAGCTTTGTAAGTGCCAATTTGTTTTTTGAGGTTTTTGTTTGAAATAAAAGCAAAAGTTGTATCTGAAAGGCAAAGCAAAGCTCTGCAATACTCTGTCCTTTCCTTAGTGTAAGACATGACTAGTGAGCATTTGTCTAGTTTCATTTAACCAAAATTTTCATTTCAAATTAAATTTTTTTTTGACAGTTTGTGTGTAGATTTAAAAGATGGTTTTTCCAATGATGCTAGCATGACAAAGATTTATTTTCAGAAATTTGAGAGGAAGAAATTAAACTAATGCTCTTAAACTAGCTATATTTCAAAAAGATATAAAAGTACCTTATCTGAGGGTATGAGTGGAAATTCTGTTGGTGGATTTGTTATCACATAGCGCTTGGTGGAGGCTTCAAAAGATGAACTGGTATCTCTATACCTATAGAGGCCAATGCAAAGCATTCCATAATTCTTTAGTGCTGCCACAAAAACATCACCATATTTTCCACCGTCCTAGAAAATAAATAATAATTTTATGTGGTTAGACTACAAAAATATGTTCAACAAATCCTCAGCTTTTTGCGAATATCAGTGAGAGGTTGGAGAAGTTGTTAGGATATATATCAGAGTTCAGATCAGTGGGCTCTGGATGAAAATTAAATTCCAAAATGAATAAACAAGTAGTGCCCTAGTAAGAACCCTGATCACCAGAGGAAAAAATTTAGAAATTTCTAAAATAAAGTTAAGATCTTTAGTTTTAGCAATTTCACTTCCTTTCTTACAATGATAGTATACAAAAAGGTCAGTAGACGAACCAGAGTTAGGCTCTTCCGCACGCTTGAGTTCAATGATGTCACTTCACTTATAGAAGCAGGAGAAACAAAGACACAATTACATTTACCTCCCTAAGCCAACAGCTGATTTAGAATCAGAGTATTAACCAGTGATGTCAAATGGTCAAAAATTTCTGGTTGGGAAGACCGAACTTTATGGTAACTTTCGATGTACCTGGAAACTTCGTATGCAGTTTTCCAGATGCATCAAGATATAGATTGAATATAAGAAAATCATCTGATTATCAGTTAGAATCCACTTTGTGAATTCTAGTTTTCACGTGTATTTGAGTTGTGTTTGATGTCTCAGGACATCCAAGGTTTCTCAACTAATCTTCGGATACTTCCTGTTTATTCTTTAACTACATGCTGGCAAATTTTATTTTCCATACAAGCTGTATCATGAGACCAAGGCTTTCAGTATTTATTTGGTGGCACTTCTTGCTTTATTTAAGACTTCCCTGCCAATTTGCTATGAAAATATCATAAAAGATTTGAGCAGTCTGCTGCAAGTTGCTTGAATGTGTGATACACAACAACTATGCTGGCATACTCTGACATGACTCGTTTGTATGTTAAACAAGAAAAAAAGTATTATGGCTTTTGTAATTTGTAATGTATGAATTTTGTATGTAAATAATTTTGGTGAAATTATAAAGGCAGAGGTTGCCAGATATTGAGAAATGCCATTTTAAAACCCTGCAATGGATGGCGGCAGTAATGGACTTTTTTGATGGAGGACATAAGTGGAGTTCCTTGCAATATGACCATTGATACAGAAGCCATTGTTACCATCATCTGAAGAGATCTTACTGATTAAATGAAAGATAAACTCATGTAAGATCCCACCTTGCATTACCTTTGAGACAGTGTCCAGTGATAAAATGGACATTAATGGAAAGGTTAATGCGAACATCACATTTGGAAGTGCTGCCTACCATTACATGGCACATGTGGCAAATATTACAGATTCTTGCATTTTCGGATTAGACCTTTTAAGAACCTATGGAGCGTTATCCTGGTGAATGTTGCCAGTGTAAGTGATAATGTGAATGAAAGTCATTAGGAAAGACGAAGTGGTTGTAGCATGTACTCCAGTGATCTGGGTTAAATAAATGAGTGGTCCTGCAATCTCTGTGTCTTTGGAGAGCCTGACATCAGTTATTATATCTCTCCATGGTCAGCCAATCAGCTGCCTCCTTACTGCAGAGAAAAGACAGCAAAAGAGACAGGCTGGCAGTTAAAAGCTTGCAGTTGTCTGAAGAACTTCGGTATGGTGGTTACATCCGAATTTGAGTTTGGTTTTTAGCCAGTGAGTGAAACTTCTAAAGGGCATACAAGAAAGTGACATTAGAGAGTCTTCAAGTCCTTGGGCATGTCCCATCAGCTTGGTCAGAAAGAAAGATGTTTTAAATAGATTTTGCTCTATTGCTAGTTCAATGAGGTTATGAAGAAAGACAGCTACCCTCTTCCTGGAATTGATGATATTCTGGATGCTCTTCCTGGGTACAAGTGCTTTTAGAAACTTGATTTACAGAGTATGTTGGCAAGTAGAGGTGCATCCTGATGACCGAGAAAAGACGACAATTATTGTGAGACAAGGACTTTGGCAGTTCAAGGTGATGCCGTTTTTACTGTGTAATGCGCCGGCAACATCCAAACACCTCGTGGTGACTGTTTTGAAAGGTCTTTCCTACGAAGCCTGTCTGATATACCTGGATAACATCATTGTCGGAGAGAGTTTTGAAAAAAATCTAGGAAATGTTAGAAAGGTGCTTCAGAAACTTAAAGAAGCCAATCTAAAGTTAAGTCCTGCCAAATGCAAATTATCCAGACAGGAAGTTACTTGCCTTGAATACATCATCTCTGTTGAAGGTGTGTGTATGGATCCTGAAAAAGCGTAGGCAGTTAAAAACTGGAGACGCCCCAAAACGTTCACCAGCTGAGAAGTTTCCCGGGGCTTTGCTCCTACTATAGGAAATTTTTAAAGGACTTTTCCTGTCACAAGACTTTTTCACAAACTGGCAGAAAGTAAGCAAAAGTTCTTGTGGACAAACAAATGTGAGAATGCATTAAACAAATTGAAGAAAGCTTTAACATCTGCGACTATCTTGATGTATCCTCAGCTCGACAAACCATTACCAGCTTGACAAGGATGCAAGCAATGACAGCATCAGTGCTGTTTATTCCCAAGAAATAAACGGCCAAGAAAGTGTAGTGGCTTACCGAGGCATGTGCCTGTCTAAACCAGAGAGGCATTACTGTGTCACCGGGAAAGAGCTGCTCGCCATAGTGAAAGACGTAGAACATTTCCATTATTATCTATACGGCAGAAAATTTCTGCTCTGCACGAATCATGCATCATTGGCCAGGCTTTTAAATTTCAAGAATCCTGAGGGTCAAGTAGTCAGGTGGGTACAGAGACTCCAGGAATATGACATCACTATTCATCATCGGAAGGGATCATCACATGGAAATGCTGATGCTGTCCCCCAGAAAGCTGCCGATATTGTTCAGCAATATTGTATGGCATTCGGGATTCGGAAATACAGAAGACTCTACAAATGGTGAATGTCAAGGACTTAAAAAGTGCTCTAGTGTTCACCATGAAATTTGAGGCAGCCCAGTAAGCAATTCTCAGAGATCGCCACCCAGTCAGAGCTGCTCAAGTACAAGAGCCTGTTGATCAATTGACTGCTCGTCTAAACTATTTAACTAGACAAACCAATGCCTTGAGGCGGAATAGGAGTGACATGAAACAAAAGTGCTGGAACTGTGGTACCGAAGAAACTGAAGACACCCCAGGGTACAGATATTAAGACAGGGAAACTAATTAGTGGCCATCTCATAGGCCGGAGGTTGCTATACAATAAGAAGCCTCATTTTAAAGCACTTCAGATTTCTGCCATGTGTAGCGGCAGCATGGACTCTTCATCATGGGACATATCAGCGGGATTTCCTGCAATATGACCAAGATTACCATCATCAGAAAAGATATGGCTCAAGAAATGGAAGGTAAACTTAACTGGATGCCACCCTGTGTTACTCTTGAGACTCTGTCCAGCTAGAGGATTGATATCGATGGAAAATTAAACGTTAACATCATGTTTGGAAGTGCCACCTAACACCACACAGCATACATAGCAGATATTACAGATCCTTGCATACTCATGTTGGACTTTCTAAGGAAATATAATTTTTCCTTGGACTTTAAAATTAGCGAACTGCATTCCACCTCTGATGACATAGCCCTATTCAGAATTAATGATGGAGTGAAATCTATCCACAAAATTACAGCTCAAGAAGATATCGCAATACCTGCAAGAATAGAGTTTTTACTTCCTGGATCCATAGCGGAAAACAAACATTTCCGCTGCGCCATCATGGAATATCCCAAGAACTGTAACAGTCCAAAAGGAGAATTAATAGCCTCAGCACTTGTCGACCTATCGCTGACGTTATACTGGTGAGAATTGCTAGCGTAACTGAAAAGGCAAGGATTATTAAGAAAGGTGAAGTGGTTGCAGCATGTAGCAGAGAGCATTACATTGGACTTATTGCAGAATGCGCAATTAAACAATTAAGAGAGGAAGGCTGCCGAACGTGTCATTCAAGATGTTTTCTCCCCCCTCATCTTCTGACGTCGGTCGAACCAGTTTGACGCAACATAGAATTGATGCCGGTGATCAATCAAGCAACATCCAAGACATCTACCGATTGCTAAGCAGGAAGAAGTATGATTACTTTTAAAGGACATACAAGAAAGCAATGTCATCAAGCCTTCAGGAAGTCCATGGGCATCTCCCATCGTCCTCATCAGAAAGAAAGACGGACTAGATTTTTGAGTTGACTGTCATTGGTTGAACGAGGTTATGAAGAAAGACAGCTACCCTCTTTCTGGAAGCAAGTGGTTTTCAACACTTAATTTAAAGAGTGGGTATTGGCAAGTAGAGATGGCATTTACTACCGGAGAAGGACTTTGGCAGTTCAAGGGGATGCTGTATGCATCGGCAACATCCGAACACCTCATGGAGATCGTTTTGAAATGTATTTCCTACAAAGCCTGTCTGATATACCTGGATCACATCATCATCATTGGAAAGAGTTTTGAAGAACATCTAGAAAATCTTAGAAAGGTATTTCAGAAACTAAAGGAAGCCAATCTAAAGTTGAGTCCCACTAAAAGCAAATTATTCAGACAGAAAGTGACTTACCTCGGACATGTTATTTCTGCTGAAGGTGTGTGCATGGATCCTGAAAAGGGTGTCAGCTGTTAAAGACTGGAAACGTCCCAAAAATGTCCATCAGCTGAGAAGCTTGCTAGGGCTTTGTACCTATTATAGATTTTTGAAGGACTTTTCTTCCACCACAAGAGCTCTTTACAAGCTGACAGAGAGCAAGCAAAAGTTCTTGTAGACCAAAGAATGTGAGGATGTATTTAACAACTTAAAGGAAGCTTTAACATCTGCTCCATTCCTGATGTATCCTCAGCTCGACAGACCATTTATTCTCTATATGGATGCAGGCAATGAAAGTGTCGGTGCTGTTTTGGCCCAAGAAATAGACGGCCAAGAATGTGTCTGTCTAAACCAGAAAAAAATTACTGTGTCATCGGGAAAGAGTTGCTCACCATAGTTAAAGTTGTAGAATATTTCCTGCTGTAGAATTACCTCTACAGTG